TGATATTTCTTTCCAGGTAGTCAGGTCGAAATCCATCCATTGAAATCAGAATGACTGGATATTTGGTTGATCTGGTTATAGACGACAATGGATAAACACATGAAATTATAAAAGGAGACTAAAACTTACTGTTAATCTGAAACGAGCTGAGTATTTTGCAGCTTATAAACAAAGTGATTTTTCGAGTCAATTACTTATTACTTCCCAGCAGATCGGCACACGCGAAGTCGTTATCTAAGATGACATAAATCTGAATGTAGGTTTGGTGTCGATATTCAAGTTAATCTGTAGACTGTGTACAGACTCCCTTCCCCCTCCCCTCAGGAAAAATCGAGGCGGAGTCTGTACACGGGCTAGTTCTCCGCAGCGCTCTGGCGGTGGGGCCGCAAGAGAGCAGGGGAGGGCTTGCTCGCAGGCTAATAAGCTAATTGATCTTTAGCAGATAAAGCAAGAAAAATCAGCTTAATGATAACAAAAGTTACCTTTCCTCATTGCACTGTGTTGCAGGTCCAGACTCTGGTAATGCTCCGCCTGAAAACAAACAAACAAACAAACAAATAAACAAAACAGCTACTGACAAATCTTGTTGCCAAAGTGGAAAGTTCGTTGCTAAACGTTTACAGTAATAATACCTCCAAAAAAAGCACTGGTCTGTTGGGGCAACAATGCTGTAAAAATTCGAAACAACGCGGCCAAGGCGATGTTACACGCTACAATTCGCAGGAACAATTTTCAGCGCAACACAGCGTTGCAACAATTGTCGGATGGCATTTGCTAAAATGCACTAGATTGCCTCTCAGAGAACTTCAATCTCAAAAATGTTCCCGGAGGAGCATGCGCTAGAAATTCCCTCAAGAAAAGTGCGCCGTTCGCGGTCCTGTTGGGCGATATCGCGCCCATATTGCCACTGTACACTGTATCTCTAGGCATCCTCTATCAAAAAATCCCCCGTCCGCCCCTGAACATTGTTCGACATTGCTTCAAATCATTATAATACTGTTCCAACATTGTTGCCCTAAAAACGTCTCTGCAGCAGTTGCATAACATCGCCCTTGAACCGGACCTCGAGCCCAGAGCTTTACTCCTGATAAACTCGAGTTGACCTGCAGCTGATCGCTAGGCGCGTTGCCATCAAGCTCCGCCTGAACTTACCTTTCTTTGGTTTATTTTTAACCAAGAACACCACCAAAAATATTATAACCACCAAAATAACAATAATGGCAGCCTGCAAAGGAATCGAGATACATTTATTTGCTGGACAACTTCCTGTTAATACTATACACCAGATTCAGTTAGGTCTAAAGAACATGGCACGTTAACTATGCTTCTAATCTGACAGAGCATGTATATCAAGAAAGGAGGAAACCCATTGCTTCAATAATCGTTAGAGGTTTTTACAGGAACCGCATATTTTTGTCCATACAAAATTGGATGCCGCATTTTATCAGATTCAAACGAAAAAAGCAATAAAAAAATCAAATTTCTATTACTTTTGCAAGTTTTTTTTTTTTTGCTGTATAAAGCGGTTCTTATTCTCAAAACTGGATGACATTCTAAATTGGGACCATTCGAAAAAAACTAGACTTGAACTAGAACAGTACTTTCCTGTGGTACTGTTGTACTGTTTATTAGATTGTATAACGTGGACTCACTTTGTGGACAAGGATAAGTAGTGTGAACATTCAGATAAAAGCTATTGAGCAGTACTTCGCACCTTTTTAAAACATCCTCTACAGAAAAGGCTAAGTCTTTGACTCTTGTTTTCCATTGACACTTTTCAGAACTTTAAAAAGAACTTACCATAACTAATAACAACCGTTTCTTGCTCAGTCCGCAGGGCCTTCCCATTTTACACTGAAAGAAATTTTAAAAACTCTTAATCGATGTCCTAGTTAAAGCTGGTACACGTATAAACGTTTGTACCGAGTTTGTCGCGAGAACTGGTTTCAATCCTCGCCGAGATGCTATCAACGTATAAAACTGAGAAGAAAAAAAATTGAATAATCTCATTTTTAGTTGCTTATCTCATAAGATCATTATAACAGCGGGGATCCCAACCATGTCGAGCATGTTTCCAACTTTCACGAGAAAATCTGGCTGATTTACTTTAACGTTGCCTGATTCACTCATTACAAAATTTCTCCTTACTAAGGGAGGCGTTGGGAGTTTCGGTTTTAGCCACCTTTTTAAAGCCAGTTTTTCGGTTTTTGCATGCTTCGGTTCTCCGGGTTTGGTGTTCCTTGCGGTTCGCGGTTTTCCTTTTTTAGCACCCGGTTCTCGGTTCTTGGTAAGCAGAAATACAAGCAGATTTTCGGATATATTGTCCGATGTGGTTTTCGGTTTTTCGTGGTTTTCGTGTTTCTTCGTCCACTCGAAGAAAAGTAAACTTGTCGAAGCTTGAAGTCTTTCGGTGCAACTCACATGAAGGAGACCGTAAAACGTGCCTTACATACTTCACATACATATTATCACACCAGGCAGAGACCTGGTACCCCAAGCCCAACACAACTTTCCCTCTTTCGCCCCATGTACAGGGAATTCAAGACAGTCTTGGAGTCTAGATTCCGAGCCATGGATTCCGGATTGAGGTACTGCATTCCAGTCTTTGTTAGTGGAAACTGGATTCTAGATTCCATTTGTTAGGGGATTCTGGATTCCTTGAGCTGAATTATGGATTCCAAAGCCCAGGATAAATTCTGGATTCCACAAGCAAAATTTTCACGGATTCCAGATTTCCGAATTCGGATTCCTTTTAATGGGGCGATCTCTTGAAGAAGTACCGTTGATGGCACCCCTACCTTCGGTTAAATTTTTCTGTAAATGATTGTAAATTATTGCATTAAAAAACTGGGAAACGGCATATAGTGCAGCGGTAAGACAAAAAAACAGTGCGGCAGGAAACAACAATGACTAGGCATGAGACAGTAGGTGAAAAAGTGCATTTGAGCTTCAGATTTGAAGACGCGGAAGATCTGAACGAGGATGAAGAGAGCAGAAAAGTTAATGATTCTGATCAAACAAGGAAGAATTTGATGAAATAGAATGAAAGCAGTGATGAAAACGATTCCAATCGTTGGTGGGATTCTGGATTCCTTCAGCTGGATTACGGATCCCAAAGCCCAGGATTCTGGATTCCACAATAAAAGATTTCCTGGAATTTTGATTTAACAAAAAAAAATTTTCAAGATTCCGGAATCCAGATTCCCTTCCACGGGGCAAGTTTTACGACCACCAACAACAAGTTTATTTCAGTATTCCCATGTGACTAAATGGTATCACCTACATTATACTACTACATGGGAAATTTCTGCAATTTGATTGGCTTAGAGCAGTGGTATTTCAGCTTAATTTGAAATACCTACATGTGAAAATTACAAAACCTTTGTGGGTAATAGCATGATTTGTATATGATATTTGGCTTAAATACCACTAGTGATATTTCAAAATTGTCTCAAATTTCAATTTCATTGTATAACAATTTCGAAATATCACTCGTGGCATTTATGCCAAATATCGCTACAAATCATGCTATTACCTATACTTATTTATGTTAAAAATCTTAAATAGTAAAGGCTAGAATTAAAGAACAAGTTTTTGTCTATGTTCGATACATGAATGCGTGCACGGTGATATTAATATTTAGAATGATGATGATGTGATATTGTTTTGAGCACATGTGAACAAAGTTTCAGGTTGATTTACTTTTTTTAACTTGGCCTTATTCTTAGTTTGGAGACAAGTGACCAGAAGACCATGTTGGTGGTCAAAACAACAATGATTAGCTTCTTCTTCTTTTTTTTTTTGCAGAATTTGCATGAAAAAAGAGTTCATTTCCCTGAGGAGAGAAACACTTTTGAATGTCAATATTTGCAAACCAGCAATTTCATTGTTCCTAAAATGGTGTCCTGCTGTATCAGTTTCAAATACTGATTTTTTTCAAACAAATATGATTACAAGCGATTACTGTTCTACATGTGCACTTCTGATATAGCCATTCCCGGGAAGAGATTCTTTCCTAGATATTGGAATATCATAGTTGAGTGATTCACTGAAATGCGCACGTTTCTGAATTGTGATGTCTTAAACACATGCTTTCACTTTTTTTTACAATAACTGAGCGAATCCTCGTGCGCTGATTGGTTGAGAGCTATGGTCTGTGAGAGTGGAAATGACGTAACATGTCACGCAGTGCCAGTTGTTTTGGTTTTGGTTTTTCGTAAAAATAAATGTTATTGTAAAAAACAAATCGACCACAATTTTCCATGATCTTCATTCTTATAGACCATAGAAATGACTCCATAACATGTTCAAAACTTTGCAATGAAACCAATCACCTGCCGCTCGTGGTTCCACTTGAGTTTTGAACATTTTATGACGTCATTTCTATGGTCTATACGAGTGTATACCATGGAAAATTGTGGTCGACTTGTTAAACTGAAATGCATTACTGCGAAGGAGAAGAAGGAAGCTTTCTGCTATGCCGGAATAGTCGAATCGCGCGGGTGAGCGAAACACACGTGGAAACAAGAGGAAGCCGCGCGCGTGATTATCTCGTCCGCTAGGACAATTGAGACGGCTTGCCTGAAATACGCCATCTTATGCCGCTTTGTATTACTGATATAATCGTCTTTTTAAGTAAAGTACTTCAGCAAAATATTTTGCCGTATTCATCCCCCTGTTCCAAATAAAAACTCGTTCCATTACACAAGCAATTATCCGATGAACAGCAAAATTGCAATGTTGACTTTCCGCCTTGCCATGCGTGACACTCGTCTCAAGACTCGCAGCAAACTAGCTGACTTTAGTGAAAAGACTGGACAATATTTCGAAAATTCACTGATATTTAAGATAAACGGCAATGTTTCAGCACAGAGGTTTTACAGCATTATGAACAGGTATATCTTTGACGATGCAAGTCATAACACGACTCACCTTTGCGGCGTAATCGATCCTCAGACTGTATTTGCGTTTTTCATCATCTTCATAGGGATCCGAAATGGTAAGTGAAGCTTTTGAGGAATCCATAGTTATTATACAAATTCTAAAGCTCTTGAAACCAGCCTGCGCACAGACTTCGATCAGTGCGGTAGGTAGTCTACATGCGACGTCTTGGATGAGAAAGAAGATGTCTGAAATAGTTGTTAACTAATGAAATTTCTTTGCTGCTCATTGGCTGTCATTCAGCGGTGAAATGTTTTAAGTCACGCTACAAGTGTCTACTTTCAAAGGGACGGTGGGCGCGGGGGATTTGGTCGGGGAGGGTTGCTGTTTTGGCGACATTTAGCGCTCACTGTTCTCACCCGAGGCCGGCAGACTGAAGGCCTGTTTATACTTGACAGAGGGGCCCACTGGACGAAAAAATGGATTTGCACAAATTTGCTACCAAATTACGAGGAGCAAATTTGGTATTGAAGATTTTACTGATCCAGGTCAACGAAAGATCCGACTGACCCTCACTGGTTTGTCGTTGTGGTTTTGCCTTCACAAGTGTTTCTAAAACAAATTTGCTCCTTGCAAATATGTCGCAAATACCGTAGAATCCCGGTTATAAGCCCCCCCGGTTATAAGCCCCCCCGATTATAAGCCCACCTCTCTGCTAATAGAAATTTCCTCCCGGTTATAAGCCCCCCCGGTTATAAGCCCACCCGATTATAAGCCCACCTCTCTGCTAATAGAAATTTCCTCCCGGTTATACCCCTGTTATACCGGGTACCGTATACAGTTAACAATAATTAGGCGGTAAATTAGCGACATACCGTATTTTTTAGACGTTTTTTTCCTCCCTATTATAAGCCCCCCGGGTTATAAGCCCCCCCCCCTCCGATTATAGGCCCACCCAAAAACCCTTACGAAATTGTATAAGCCCAGGGCTTATAACCGGGATTCTACGGTATGCCGTAAAAACTGAAGAGTTGGCTTAAGTGTATTTTTTTCACTCATATGGTTCTGTACAGTACCGCAAATGATCCCCAACCGCAAATGATCCCGAGACCGCAAATGATCCCCAAAATGGACCGCAAATGATCCTCGACCGCAAGTGATCCCCAAAGTCGACCGCAAATGATCCCGTAAGAAAAATAGGAATGACTTGGACTCAAGTTGACGGATCATCGTGTCGATTTTATTATTATTACCAAAACGTCAGATTAAAAGCTAAATTTTACTTCTCAAATAAATCTATGAATAAAAACTAAATGAAAAAAAAAAATCATTTAAGTGTAAAAACGAAGTCGGTAGGCAACACACGACTTTTTACCTCATGCTAAAATGCTGCTTGTTCCAATGATTTTTTTCCGGATCTGGCGGGTAGATTATACTTCGGAGCAAAACGTTTTGAGAGGTCATGACAAGCATTTTCTGCGGTTATTGTTGTTTCTGGTCAGCATGATTTGCCCTTTGATGCAAGAGCATTTCCTTTGACCTCTTTTGAAATGCAGTGCCCTTCATTGCCGCTAATTAAGGGTTTTAGGCTGTTTATTTTTTTCCAAAGTGCCTCCTGGATCCGAATAATTATAAGCGGTTTTCTTTCTCGTCCGTGAATATGACAGTTTCCTACGATGTTTTGTCACGCGATAACTATCGCTTACCTGGCTTTTGCGTTTCTCATTACCACGTTTAGATTCCTGATAACTGTCTCCAGCAAAGGCAAAACAAATGAATATACATAAAAGCGTCAATATAACTATTCGCAACATGTTCATGAGTTGTAAGAAAGTTGCTATTTGGAAATAAACAGAAACCTGCGGACATTGATAAGTTCGGGGGCATTTTGACTTGTGTTTGTGTTAAATCATGTCTTGTTTCGTAACGGTCAACATCTTACAGTCTTACTGTTCGTGAGTCTTTTTTTTTTTTTTTTTTTTTTTTTTCCTTTTTCATTTTTTTTTCCTTTTATCTATTTACTAATTCCTTATTTTTTCTAGCTTTAGTGCCAACCTACCTCCTATGCCTGAACATTATTTAGCTTTACTCAGCTCGATTAGCTTTTTAGTTATTCTGAGTAAATGTTACCTTTTTTTGTATTAATATATTATATTGTAAATTAAGTTAACTTTTATTTGGTAATAAAGCTTATGTTGTTGTTGTTGTTGTTGTTGTTGTTGTTGTTGGTCACCTAAGTTACGAACAAATGTCTTGCTGTTTGTCACGTAAAATTAACACTTCAGAGAAAAATCAAAATTAAATATTCTGAAAATTAATTTCACACTTTCAAAAAGATCAGTAAAGTCAATAAAGCTCTTGTTATGTAGAGGGTGCCCGGCTTTGTATTCCTCAGCTTCTAGGCGTTAAAATAATAGAGTCTTTTCTGCGTAACGTCCTGCCTGTCTTAAATTTTTCAGCGACGAAACATTCTTGAAAGAAAATTGAAGCAATTGAGGTATTAAAAGGTAAGCGGTAGTTATCGCGTGACAAAACATCGTAGGAAACCGTCACATTCACGGACGAAAAAGAAAACCGCCTATAATTATTCGGATCCGGGATTTTAGCATAAGGTAAAAGTCCTCTGTTGCCTACCGACTTCGTTTTTACACTTGAATTATTTTTTTTTTCATTTAGTTTTTATTCATAGATTTATTTGAGAAGTAAAATTTAGCTTTTAATCTGTTGTTTTGTAATAACAATAAAATCGACACGATGATCCGCCAACTCTTGAGTCCAAGTCATTCCTATTTTTCTTTCGGGATCATTTGCGGTCGACTTTGGGGATCACTTGCGGTCGAGGATCATTTGCGGTCCATTTTGGGGATCATTTGCGGTCTCGGGATCAGTTGCGGTTGGGGATCATTTGCGGTACTGTACAGTTCTCGCCTATAGTTAAGTACGGATTTGAGGATTTTTTTGCGATGGTTAAAAGACCTTTGTCCGAAGAAAATTTAGAATGCATAAACGGAAGCAGGAACCTATAGGCTAAGTCTATATATTTATCTTGTCTAGTCGTAACTAGCACACGGAATTCTCAAAATGCCGTCTGAGGAAATTCCTGAGGAAGGGTATTTCATAACATCATTTGAATTCCTTGAATATTATTGGTCAGAAAATATTAGCCACTTTGCGGTTACGCGTAATAGACTTGTTCGGTATCGCGTCCAATTGCACTATGGAACTTGTTTGGGGCATTCTTTCACCAATGGCTGTTACGATACTGTGCAGAAAACTGGGTCAAGATTCGTCTCACATAAAGTTCCTTGAGCAACCTCGAAATCGCCAATTAGAAGTAGAGAATTAAAGTGCTTCTGGAATTAATCAATTCGGCTAGGGTTATTGTCAAGAGGCTCTATGGTTTTCCTTGTAATGACTTTGCGTAGCGAGCAAAGATATAGTTGGTGAATATTCAGTCCCGATTACCTGTCTCTCCGAGGGGGCATCTGATTCTGTTCAGTTTTAAACCAGCCATAGGCCATACTGTTACTTAATTTTTTTCTGCGCATTCGCGTGTTGCGAAAAATATAGAACAAATCTAACTGAATCCATGCACAAGAAAGAGTATTTTCAAACTACTAGTCATGCCAAAGTCATCAATTTTGCTTCGCGCCGATTATTAACATGGAATGCTGGACTTTCTGAATATGATAAAAAGTCAGCTGCAGAGTAACTGGTGACTCTGTGTAGACATCTGAAGCCCCGTGCAAACGGACGCAACATTGTTGGCCAACAGCCCCCTACATTGTTGGATGTTACATGTTGGGTCCGTTTGCATTCCCTGCTACATGTTGTTGCATGTTGTTGCGTGTTGTTGGGAATTGCTGCCCAATGTTTGAAACAGGGAAAACTTTAAGCGACGTGCAAACTGACGCAACAACTCCCAACATAGTTGGGAGCTGTTGGCCAACTATGTTGAGTCCGTTTGCCCGCAGCTTGATATTGGTTGCCCTTTGTACAAACTTGTAAGAAGACAAATGTTCCAATAATACAAAAAACTTTCAATTCTCTTCTTGACAACTGGAAAAAGACACATCACCTCTGGATAATTATTTTATCACTCGACCACCGTATTTGTTTTTTTAAGGAAAATCTTCGGGAAGCGATGCGATCTGCCATTTTCACGCAAAAGCGATCGCAAGAAGGAGAAAAACGTGGTTTCATTTACGCATGAGCAGAATATTATTTGCAGGCAAACACAGTTGGACAACATTGCACATGAGCAGACCATTATCTGTAGGCAGTTATTTGCAGGTCATGTGTTGGCAATTGAGAAGGAAGAAAAACTATTTGCAACTAATGATAGAATGTTTTATTACTTAAGTTAACAAAAATTTAATACAAAAATAATAACTTTATTAGTAACTTAAATGTTGCTTAATCTTTATGGAGAATAATATATGGAGTTTAAAATATAAGTAATAACGAAATAACAATCAACCAAGCTCCAATCACAACCATAAACATTTCTTTAATAGTTCAAAATCTCTGTCCTTTTTTTGAGTAAAGTAGCTGAAAATCTTTGTAAGATATACAGTTATTTTAAGCAATAGACCACACTTTCTATGGGTTAACCGGCGTGATAACCCACGCGGGATGTTGGGAGAACACGAGAACATGAGAGTATTCTCCCAACATCCCAAGTGGGTTATCACGCCAATAAGACCCAAAGAAAGTGTGGTCTATTGCTTTTGTAAAATGATTTTAAGTTTTCTATGAGTTTACCGGCACAATAAACAATAGGTTTTTAACCAATGAGAACGCGCGTACCATCTTAGCTATTTTATACTTAAATATAACCAAGTCCAAGACATATATATGTAAGTCACACTGCAATGAATATTATGGTTCAAAGTGAGATACACACTTTCAACTATAGGCTATAACTACGCGCCATTAAACTTGAGAATTCAGTACTCCAAAAGAGTACGCATTGTAATAAGGAAGGGAGGGCGAACTTTAGTTTGCATGACAGACACTCAACTGCCAGAGGCCTCAATAGTCTTCAACTGCAAAATAAAGTTATACAGCAAAACCACAAATTTGTGGAAAATATCCGTTCGTTGACCCTGTTCACTCTGGTTGTTTTATTAGAGTGAAAAGCAAGTTTACGAATTTGATCGAACCCGTCTGCTACTGCTTTATTAGCCTGGCAAAAGGCAATTAACAATCCAAGATGTTCCGCACTTCACTAGTGATCAAGACGCCTTGCAAGGCAGGCCAGGAAGTTTCTGAAAACAAAATCAAATGATCCTGGTGATTAGCAGAAGCTTACAATCTTTCCTTCTGTTGATTTGCCCTTGTGAAATCAAAAGGAAAGCTGCCTGTGCTCAGTCTTTGACACACATTACTTTTGATCCTAAACAACTGCTTCGTAATAACACAGACAACAGAGTGTTGCAGATTAATACCGCCAAAGTCATTTCATTTTTTAAATCTAAAGTTTGAAACTTTGCTATACTCTATCCTCTATTAGAAACAGCCTCACAGAAAGCTACTCCCTTTGCTTTATATTGTGACTGTTTATACGTTTGTAGTCTACGGACCTGAGTGCTAACAGGTTGAGCGCTTCGAGACTTTGCCCTAGAACGGCTCTTATCTGAACAGTAAAGGAGTTTGCATTGCTACTATTTCTAGCTTGTTTGACCAATCAGAAATCAGGAGTAACATAAAAACCAACTGTGAGTTTCTCGCAAACAGTTTCCCGCGCTTGGTACCCACGTAAATTTGTTTCGATTTCTGATTGGTTCTTAGATTGTCATCCTAAACTGTGATTGGTCAGAGCTATTGATCTGGTTTTGGGTTAACGACACTAAAGCGAAAATCGCTCTGCCTTTGGAAAATAAAGCACTGAGTACACTAGCAAACCTTTCGAGGTTTTCCAATTGGATCGAAGCTGACATTTCCGTAAATCAACAAAGCCAAGTCCTTGAAATTCCTTTGCATGGCGATGGAAAGGGCTGTGCTGCCTTCCTGTTGGATAAATCGAAATGAACGTGCTGTTAAAATTATCTACATCACATCTTTTGAATCTTTTACTGAACAGAAAAACATTTTCACAGGAAGAACACTACGTGATAACGCTCAAATTTTTGCCTTCCTCAAGGAATGTGACGCGATATTTGAAAAACAGACAAACAAACAAAACCAAAACAACATTCCAAGAAACTTAGCTGTGATTGTCTTTAAGATAAATGAGGGGATGTTTGTGCCAAACTTCTGATAACAATGAGCTGCACTTTTAAACTCTATACTGACATTAGTGGACAAAATCAAAGTTAATGAAAATCTCCAAGTTTCAACGAGCAGAATGGAACACAAATAGTACCACGAGGAAGGTCCACTGAAGAGATTTCATTTGAATGTCACACCATAGGTTTTTTTTATCCAGACTCTCAAGAAAGAGATATATTGCCTAGTTCCTCCGCCTCATTAGTCCACACGGCTGGAAATGCATTGACCGAGAAGGCCTGGGAAGACACCGTACAAGAGCTAAGCTACATAAGACACAGTGAACGTATTACAATAAAGCCGCATACTATCCCTGTAGACCAAAAAGAACCCAAACGCTGGAAATAGAATGAGACTTACATTATCTTCTATCGAGGGATCGCACTCAGGTTCCAATAGTAGACGCTTGGCGATATTGAGATGACCATGTTCGCATGCGCACATCAGCGCTGTAGATCCATCCTAGCAAAGACACAAAGCAAACCAGTGATATTTTTAAAAGGAAACCTTCAATAATCAACTCCTCTCCTCAACTCCTGCGGCACATTTGTTTGCCGTCCTTTGCAGTCCTTTGTGGTCAATGTGCGTTCCTCGCGAATAGTCAATTGCGGAAGCCAATTTCAAGATAGTTTTGCCTGCACGCTGCAACCTTGTGAGAAAAAATCTCTTGCCACTTTGGCGCCTGCTGCACGCATTTGCTTCAAGTTATGATTGGTTCGTTAAATTGTATTCAGTGATTGTGATTGGCTGAAGTTACGATTACCTTATTCAGTGAACATTCGCTATTGTTATTGGTTAAAGTGATTGTGCTTTGATCTTATTTAATTGTTGAAGTGTACCACATTTTTCAAAACAGAGAATGAAACCCTTTCTCAGAATAAGATGGTTCGACTGGCGACCCATGCCATAGACAAGAAGTGACTTAGCTACAAGTATAAATTGTTTGGCAGCACTCAAAGTTGAGCGTTAACATTTAGCCATTTAAACAATGAACCAAAAAAAGATAAGCTCTCTTACTTCGTCTGCAGCATTTATATCAGCTCCAGCTTCCAAACAAATCTCGACCATCTCCATTCGTCCTCGGCTGACGGCCAACATAAGCGGACTTTGTCCTGTCTGGTGCCGTCAAAAATAATAAAAAGAAAGCAAGTCAGCAGTGGTTTTTACCGCTACGCAATGTGATTGGCTTAAATATCACGTGCCAATCTCAGCCAATCACAAGTGAAAACAAAACTACCCGTGACTTTCCCGCGCTCACTGCTCGCTGCACGCAGCGTTTGCTTCAAAGCCTGTTTCATTTATTACACTGCATAATGCCACCTTTCATAACTGGGTTTCGTCTGATGAAAATAAAATTTCTCTAGACCGCCGTGTACAAACTACTTACATCATCAACTTGCTTGTTGACATCTCCCGCTCGAAACATCTTCCTGGCAGTTTCTTTGTCGTCCTCTTTTGTAACTCCCGCTAACGACGCCATCATTACCGGCGTGTAACCAGCCTGTAATTATTAACATCAACATATATTTAATGCTGGGAGCCCCCAGGCGAGCAGAACACTGATCTTTGGGTCGCCTGTGGTTCTCCGGGTGTCCTGTCGCTATGTAGGTGTTACAGTCTCGATTTTAGTTGTTAATGTTGTAGTTCATTTTTTATCTCAGGTAATTTGTTTTTCTTTTTTTCTTGGGTATGGTAATGCATGCTAATTAAGTTGAAACAAAAGAAAAAAATTACCTGATATAAAAAATTAACTACAACATCAAAAATGATTTTTAGCAGAAACAGCCTGCAGTGTCGTCATTCTAATTGCGTTAAGTTTCGCATATTGTGGCTCACGTTAACAGTTTCAAATTATTTTCGTAGGACTGTAAACAGGCGACCCAAAAAACAAAGAACTGAGTTTACGGCCCCCTTGTAGTCCTTTATCCCACAACTATTAATTGACCAAATAAAGGGGTCTGTAATAAGCAAAATGTGTATACCAGCAGGTCGTTTCTCAGATGATGTTTTACAGTCCAGCGTCTGGACGCGGCATTGTACTTACAATTTGTAACCTCTAGTCATAATTATTTGCCTATACAAGTCCCCAAATTCACCTTCTGAGCGTCAGATTTCACGTGTAGTTTCACGTGACTTTTGATGACCTTTGTTGTAAACAAACCCGCAAAGTTCGGACATTCGTTCTCTGCCACATACTGTACTTGTACGAACTACACTCGCTATTTCCAGTTTGCGTTAGTTTATAAATGTTATTTCCCTTTTGCTGTTTGAGACTCGAAAAGTTTAAGGTTCAAAAATATCTGAGCAGAAGAATAACAGCGATTTTAAGGCCAGAAACATAGCAGACGTTACGGCAGGAACGACGGAGGAGTGCTTGCAGTGGAAATTCCCGTCTCAGCAGAAATGGTTTTAACATTGGAAATAAACCTCGAAAGAGATAAAACCGGTGATGTAGGCAAATTTCAAGATACATACATAATTCACATTTCAAAATTCATGATCACACGCGATCACACGCTATTAATTCACCAATCCATTTTCGCTACAAAGACCATTTGGCCATTTGTAGTTTGACATTTTGCTTTTCAATTTGTATATTACGGCAAACAGTGACTCGACACTTTTGATGACGGTTATGTTGATGGCATTTACTTACTGAGGCCTGTAGCAAAAAAGTGCAGGCTTTTGTGAACATACACTAGGTTTGTATTTAATCGTGTAGAGACAAAAGGAGGCAGTGTACTATACTTCAGACAAGATAAGCATAAGGTTGCTTATATATTTAAGCGTATAAAAGGCGGTCGAGACGAAAATGTAAGCACACTGCCTTATAATGAATTATAAATGTGTCTGCATCATCAGTTTCATTTTCTTCAAGTTTAGATCCATCGTGCAAAACCATTCTTTCAACTGAACAGGAGAATTCTACGCGCTTGTTGAAACTCCATGTACCAGCGAATATTTTTTCTGTTTTAACACACTTGAGGCGGTTAAAGTCACTCTAGATCTTCTGCTTTGACATTTTGAACCTTAAACTATTCGATTTTCAAACAGTGAAAGGGAAGGAAAATATATAAGTTAACTCGAACTTGAAGTAGCGACTCGTACTTCGTACATGTACAGTATGCGAGAGAGAACAGATGTCCGAACTTTGCGGGTTTGTTTACAACAAAGGTCATCAAAAGTCACGTGAAACTACACGTGAAATCTGACGCTCAGAAGGTGAATTGCTGAAGTGCTACTAGCTCCTGTCTTTTACAAACAAACGCAAGTTCTACCATAATAAATAATAAGTACTCATAATAAAAAAAGTACCTTGTTGGGCAAATTCAAGTTCATGGATCCTGTTCCTAGCAATACATCCACAATCTTCCAGTTTCGAAACGAAACAGCATAATGCAGAGCGTTGTTTCCCTGAAAAATGAGAAAAATAATCAGAGATATCACACAATTAGTCTTAATAATAGGCGTTTCCATCTTTCCTGAGGGGTTCTTAAAATCCAGTTTTAGAAAATGTGCCTCTTATGCAAAACGTGGAAAACTCATCCTTGGGAAGCAGAACGTCACATGACCTACATCGGGAAAACAAACCAGACAAGCTAAAGAGGTCTATTCGAGGTTCAACCTCCAAGAGTATTGTGGGATTTTTCGAATAGGCCTAGTCAGATGGTTATTTTTAAACAAATTTCAGAGGTAAATTGCAAATAACCTAACGACTTACATTGCTGTCAACCAAATTGACAATGGTCTCCAGAAGCATGGGAATTTGATTCTTGAATATCTTCAGAAGTCCCTTGATAATCTCTGCATCACAATCTCTTGAACTTACACATCGAAACCAATTGCCTTCCACAGTACTCATGCAGGAAATCTGAGAAATCATGACAAATACAAGTTGTAATGCACCTAAAAATTGGGTGCAAATTGTTTCCCAAATCATGGAACAAAACATGGATGAGTCCTAGCACTCCACCCTCCCCACCCTACCTTTTTGCGGTGTTTGGTTTTCAGTACTATAGTTTTAAAAGGACATATTTTTTCTGCACGCTCGTATCGCTTCTTCACCAACACACGTTTTTTACTCCCAAATTTTCAAAGGATTTTTATTTTTCTTTCTTTCTTTTTTTGAACAACGGTGATGAGTCTACGCGTTAACGAAAGAAACACAGCGTATCTCGTAGGGAGAAAATTCTTCTCCCCAGAGAGTCTCTGATTTTTTCTCCCGAGGGACTCTGTACACCCCGTGAGGGTATGCACCGAACAAACTGAAAAAGAGTGGAGTGGATTCACTCAACAATTATCCAGTGTATCACAGCGATTTATGTGGTAAATAGCGCTTACAGATTATAACCAATAAGTTACCAATTATAAGGCACTCCTATTTGCATATCACACAAGATCAAACATACCTAAATGTGGGCTATCTCGAATAATCCTAATGTGATTTCTTTTTAACTCCCACATTAAAATATTTCCCAAAACGTTCAATTTTTTTTTTTGTAAAATCTTAAGAAATAAATCGTTCTATGCAGAAGTTCTTGCAAAAGAGGTATCATTTGAATGGTAACACTGTAGGATTTCATCCACAGATTTAAAAGTTAAAGTGAAAAATAATCTCGCAATAACTTGGCATAGAACGGAAAGGTTTAATTTAGAAAAGAAACATGTTAAGCTCAATGTCAGACATGTCGGCCAAAGAGTTTTCTCACTTCTTATTTAAAGGACAAGCCAGTGGGGTCTGAACTAATGACATTCATCACAAGAGAAGAATGTTGCAAGTATTCCTCTACTACAAACAAGAAACTTGTGCTTGTATGAGTCGTTTGCCATAGAAACTTGTTGGATAATCAAAAGCACTCCTAACAGAGTGGGATAATATGTTATGGGCGCATTTCAAACGTCAGAACTGGCCGGCCAGACCATGGATGGAGCAGTCACTTTGACAATGAAATAGGCCTTTCCCAAGAGTTTTTGCTGAAAAACCATCTCCTTCAGTTCGTGCATACTATTTAGAATTTGACTAATCTGGTTGGATAGTTTTGATTTAAAGTGAAATTCTCATTACTACGTGAATGGACTGGCTGGTTAGTTCTGACAAATGGAAAGCGCTCTAACACTAACTGCCCAGTTTTCATTCTACTGTGGGGCTGAGTAAACAAAAGTTAAGCTTGCTGAAAAAACTTAACTAAACAAGATAAACAAGTATCAGATGAAATAAGAAGTTAGCTAACTGACAATCTGTTGAGGTTTCGTAGAAAACTGCCTGTAGATACTGTAATATTACCATTTGCTCTCTGCCAATTTCTTTGCCTTTGTAAAGGTGGCCATTCAACAGTTTACATGCAACAACAACCTCATCTTTGATTCTGCAAAATGATATTAACAAATAAAGGAATAAATAGGAATAAATTCTTATACTGTTGACAGGATGAGAATTTTTTTTGATAGTGTAAGAGTGGGACAGAGAAAATGATTAGAGAAGGGAGGGGAGAGAGGGGAAATGAGCTCAGTAGGGTTGGAAAAGGGATCATGAGATCAGGGATGTTCAAAAGGATAAGGAAAGAAATAAAGAACAGTGTGTGGGGAGGGGGAGGGGGTGGGAAAGTAGAAGGGAGAGGTGAGGAAGAGATGGGGAGGAGATGGTGGGGAAAGGTGAGACAAAGAAAGCAAACAGGAAAGACAATATTTCTTGCCAATCATGACGTTAAGTATCGAGAAATATTGTTTTAATGTTAAATAACAGAAGATATGGATTGCCATTCTAAAAACTGCAACTCCCAGTGGGAAAAATGTTAATGCAATTATCAGGTCTTATCTGCCAATATCATATGAAAACAAGTAAAATATTTATACACATAATGGGTACTGAGAAATGTAAGGGATGAATGGTATTTTGATGTTAGATTAGAACTGTTAGAGCAATATAACCAAAGAAAATGAAGTCAACACTTATCATATCTTTTTTCAATCTAGCTTTCTTAGCAAGGAAGCAAAACAGCAAAACAGACTAGAAATTTGACAGAAAACAAAGGTTATAAGCATCATTTGGGAATAATTGCCAAGAAGCACACCATCATCAGTTTTTGTTTCATTACTTACAGAAAGTCTACAGTTACAGTAGACAAATTCCTTTCATAGCTTCAGCTGAAACATTCCAAAATCTAGCTCAAATTGTGGATTAATAGCTTACCACATTCTTTTACATAGCTGCTATGCTTTGTCATAAAATCAAAACAATAATTTTATTGCAATTGATTCATTTTAGTTTTAAGCTTCCACAGGGCACTTACTAACATGGTAGTTATACAAAACTGAACTGCCCTGTGCATTGTGTATGTGCAGGGCTAGAAGACATAGGAAATTGAGAATCAACCTAAGTTAAAAAATTTAACCTGAAATAAAATTGGACCTGTAAAATATCTGAACGGTCAATAACAAGATCTGGATCAGATTGGAGCAGACCAGATCAACTCTCACAGTCCTTTCCTGCTTCCCTAACCTTTTGTTGTTAGGTAATTAAGTTACGGGGCTTGACACAATCAGGTTTTGTTTATGCCCTGATCAAGCTATAAAATTTCATTCAGAAACTTTAAGGTTAAAAACCTATTAACACTGGTCCATTTACGCCAATAACATAATTGACTTTCAAGTCTTAATTGCTCTTCCAGGTGTTCAAAATGGTGATTAGTCATGATTATGAAAAAAATCATTAATCAGTAAAAAAAAGATCATTCCATAGCCATTTATTGAGCAAATAATATTTACGCTCTAAACAAAATTCACAGATATATATCCTGGTCAGTTAAAAAGTTAAAAGTGAAGCTGTTTAAAATGTTCTTCCCATGTTTTTAAAAAGTTTCCTTTATATTTCATGAGACAATATATGTGTAAAAGTGTTCACATAAATTTGCACAAATCAAGTGATTAACACCGGAAATCCCAAAAAGGATGTACTAAAACGGTAATCTACAACATTTCTCTGTCTGATGAGATTTAAACCACCCCAAATTGTTAAAACTGTTTAAAACAAGAAAATAGTGATCACATAATGAAACATTCTACAACTAGAGAAGTTATTCTAAGAAATTTGATTAGCCAACTGACTGCTAAATACACCTTTACTGCTCAATAGAAATAAATTGATGAGACATTGGCGAATGATTGCTTAATGGAGGGTGACTTCCTATAATTGGTTTCCTTTGATACAGATTTCACAGAAAAAAATTAATGTGGAATGAAAATACTCTCCTGCTGTTTCACATTCATTTTATACTTAACAGTGCGGCAACATGTGGCAAAATATAGGTGTGTAGCTAAAACAGATATCTAAATCATGATTGCCAATCATCAAATTTTAGGGTGCACAATTTGTTGACCAATAACACTAGGAAATCTGATATAGCAAGCACTAATATGGGACAGATTTGTGCTAAATATATCATCACAGGTCAAAACCTCTATGGTACTTTTCTAAATTACCATTGATCACACAATGAAAGAGTTATGATAATGAAGAGAAGTTAAATATGAAAAGTTTCATTTGATTGGTATCAAAATAATATTTCACCAATTCTATTCTAAATAGTACTGACTGTACTTGTTAATTGTAACAAGAAGATGCTGAACATAATAAATGTGATGATGATGCCCACAATAATCACAATAAATCAATACATCATTAAGTTATATATGATTATGATAATTGAGATGGAAATCCTCAGTTTTTCACTTCCACAGTCAGTAATGGAAAAATGTAGTGTAGATTTAACTTCTGAGTTTGTGAAAAAAAATCTTTAATTAAAGTAGCCTGCACCGCAGACAAAACTTAACTATGGTTAAGTCTGTCTGAAAAACAGCGATGAAATCCTAGTCGTTCTGGGCCCTCCACCTGTGTACCAGGAATTGAGTACGTGCCATGATTGGCCTGTTAAAAATGCCATTGTCGATTTGCCAATCAAGATAAAAGAAAATTAGAAACCCTCTTCTCGTAATTTTTTGAGTCCGTAGGGAACCCAGAACAAGGATATTGGTGACGCTTCGTAGACATTACTAACTGTTAAATTACGTCTATTCAAGTGAAACCTCTTCACCAACTTTCACTTGGTGCTGTTATTTGTTTTTCAGTATTTCACAAATCAAACTGTACATGTGTAATTCATATTTGCTTAACCTGGAGGACCCTTAAGAGTAAAAAGATTTTTCAAAATTGGTTGCCATGGCAACAAAAATATCAACAAGGTCATAAAAAACAATTTAAAGGGTTTGACAGCATTAGGCAAATCCTTCAGAAAAAAACATTGCAGTTGTACCATCAAAGCATTATAAAGGATCCATACCTAATGCGGTCAGGAGACTGCAACGTATCCCACACTTCACTGGTTTGGCTTGCACTGTCACTGCTGGGGTTGTCGTTGTCGATACTCCCATCTGACTCATTAAGGTCACTTTCTTTGCTGTGGTTAAGTCCCTTTTTCATGCCTATTCCATTCCTTACATCATTAGAATATGCATTGAACTGCTTAGACTGTACATGTCTAACTATGTTCTGACCTGTGATGGGAGCACTTGTTTTAATGTTCATGTTAGAATCAAATTTAGTATTATTATTATCAACGGCAACAAGATTAGCTTGTATCACAGCTGGTTTATAGTCTACATTAACATCAAAGTCTCCTACGCCAACAGAGTGCATTTGCACATTGAAACACCGCTCGCAGAAGCTGTCAGTCACGCAGCAATCTCCAATGGCAACAGTTTGCGTTCTGATGTTCATACATCTGTCACAGAAGTTATCAGTAATGCAACACTCACTGACCCCAATTGATCTTGTTTCGACAAATTCACACATTGTTCCCACTGACTTGGTTTTCTTATTGGCACACTTATCACAAATCAGGTCAACAGAAACATTACCATCACCAACTCCCACGGACCTTGTTCGCAAACTATCACACTTGTCACAAAATGAATCCATAACACCACAGTTACCTACACCAATTGTCCTTGTACTCTGCTGAACAGAGCTTTTCCTTCTCAAAGGCATGCCTTGTTTATCTTCTGTGACAAAGCTGTTTGGGTCTACAGATTCTAGCTGGATGTGTCTTTCTGCACTCACTATTTTCTCTGTATAAATGTTTTCTTGGTTGGTTTGCATCCTGCTGCAAACTTTACAGACAAAAGTGTTCTCCTCCTGCTGGCCATCATGTGTTCCAACTGATGATGTCTCCAAATTTGAACAGCGTTCCCACAAAATATTGTCAGTTTTATCATCTCCAACACCAGTGTCTTTGGTAGAAATTTGTTCAGTTCCACAACTGACACTTTTCAGCTTGATGTTACTGCAACGATCACAGAGCCGGTCTCCTGAAACACAGTGTTCCCCAACAGCAACATTCCTGAGCTCAACTTTTTCTCCAACACCAACGGTTCTTGTTTGTAGGTTGCTACAGCGGCTGCAGAGGTAGTTGTCATCAAGACATGCATCACCCACACCAACGGACTTATAAAATGGAATGTCAATGCGATTTGCCATAATCTCATCCACAGTTTTCAATATTGTGCGAGACTTTCTGTTGGAGCACTTTCGGCATGATGGTTCATCATCAATGGTGCAGATTCCAACACCGATTGACACCATTGTAACCTCAGATTTTCCGCTTGTCTGAACGGCAACACTGGCCATGTCTGAGATCTTTCTTTCAGTGTCTTTGTTCAGATTGTCACTTGAACCGTGAAGCTCAGTGTTGGTTCCTGTTGAAAAGAAAAGCGGCTTTGCAGAAATGCCTGCATCTTTAGTTGTGACGGCAGAAGAGGTAGCATCACATGAAGAATCTTTCTTATCCACTGAAGCCTGAACCCCTTTTGGCTCTGTAAAGAGAAGTGCACTTCCATCCCCAACACCAACATCTTTTGTGAAAGACCTCATCATCCCCACACCGATTGATCTTGTTTTGGGTTTCTTTGCTTCTTGTACCAGCGACAGCTTACTCTGATAATCGACCCCTTCGTCCAAGCTACTGTCTGTTTCCACACATACAGATTTGACTGAAATCCTTTTAATTTCTGCACTTTGGTTACCGCAGGAACAAGCATCATTGATTGAGAAATCCCCAACACCAACAGAATTCAGCCTAACGCGGAGTCTCTTCTTAAGTAAAGAGTAATCATCATCATCATTTTCGGTATCACTCTTTGATCCCCTTGAGTATGACATACTGTTTCCTGCGTAATCAGCTGATCTTGTCCTCTTCCGAACACTCTTTGACTGCAGCTGTTTAATGAGCTGCCTTTTCTCTTCTTGAAGCACTGATATACGAACTTGCAAAGTTGGCACATTTTTAACCTGCTCTTCTAGCTCTTTTAACCGCACAAGACTTAAAGCCATTTGTTCACGAATTCTCATCAAACACTGCTTCAGCTCAGATTCTGGTGGCAAGCTGGCTATTGAAACCTCCAACAGAGAAGTACTGGGCCTTAAAACAGGAGAACGCACACTCCTGTAGCCAGGACTTAATGGCTCATTCGCAAAATCAAACACTCTGTTGGTATGCCGACTATCTCCACTGCCGCTAAGTGAACTGAGAGGAGACAAACTCCTTGGCGTAGAGGAACTTGGACTGCTAGCGCCAATATCTCCCATATTCTTCCAACTGCTTGCGTCACTGTCTGACACACTTTCCAGGTCTAGGTCGGGTGAATGGATGCTGTATTTGGGGAAAGCAAAGTTGACTTCACAATCAAAACTCAGTGGAGACTGTCTGGTTTTGCCATTACTCCCATTCTTGAGAAAGAAAGGTTTGGACATAGCTATCAACTGGCAGAGTTGTGTCAATAAGGTTCAGGATTGTTTCCTCTCCAGTACTGTACAGATCCTGTAACAAAAAAAACAAAAAGGAGTTGTGAAAATTGAGGTAAAAAGGGGCAGATTACTAATTGTGACCGTGAAAGGCAAAACAGACACTAAAGGAAAACCATTTGAATGGGAAAAATGCATAAGTAATGAACGGTTAATGAATGATCCACAAGGCATTCAACAGTTTGACCAGCCATTCAAATGGATGAATAAATCATTTTAATGGATCGGCAATCCATTCTAAAGGATGAATATATTACTTGAACAGACTGGCAATACGTTTGAATGGACGAATAAAAATGCTGAATGGACTAGCAATCTGTTTGTAACTGTCTGCAAAAAGCGTTCTGAACAGAACTGGTAATTTCTATTATATGTTGATCTGTTGTTTTAGTAGCTAAATATTATCATCAGCAAAAGATAATTAAATAGTAATTTTGTGTTTGACAAATGTTTGAAAGAAAAAGAAAGGGTATTTTGATTTCAGTCTCATTGGAATTGGAATTTCAGCCTGGTGAATTTCTTTCTTTTGCAAGTTCGACAAACAGTGGATGAACTTAACCCTCTCCTCAACAGTGTCAATTAAAATCAACGAACAGCACTGATCTTAGGCACTTTCAAGCACTTAATCTCATCATTGTAGTCAGACAACCCATACATGTCATGTGTATCACTGATGCAATAAGCTTCCCATGTTCCTATGTTTTCCTTATCACAGAGTTGTCCCTTGAATCTGATTGGGCTTTATGAAGTCATACGAAGAAAAGCTCCACCTTTTGTAGCTCTTGAAAATATCTCAATAAACACTTCCCTTTCTGCTCTCCACAGAAAATTCCAAATATTTTTTCTACTTTCCTGTTTTAAAAACTATTTGACCCTAGGTACCTACCCTCTTTGAACTTTCCGCCTTGTTTTATGCTTTCTCAAAAATACATTATGCTGTTAAAATAAAAACACTGGGAACTCTTAACTGGAATCTGAGGATGAAATCCTATAGTAAGTGCTACCATTAAAAGAAAAGTTTTCATTTTTTACCACTTTTTTTAGGATTTTACAAAATGAAATAATTATCCTCAAGGCATTTTCTTAAATCTGAACTTTGGACACTCTTTAAAGGAGTACTACAATCGCGCTAATCACCACTGTTAGCACAGTATTAATACATCTGTGTTTCAAGAAAAGCTTCTTGAGTTAAGTTAATTTGTATTTATAATAATTATAAGTACAATTTAACTTAACTAAAGAAGCTTTTATATATCCAGTCAAAAACTATATATTGCAGTAGCATTAACAGCGTATTACGTAAGTTATTAAGTCACCTTGTATTTACTTAAGCACATCAAGCCATTAGCAATATTGCATTTATGATGCAAAATAGTCTTGACAAGAAATTTGCATTAAGACCTGTATCAATAGCAAAGTAATGTCCCTTAACTAATGCATACCAGATATTAAATTATCTGCAACAATTAGAGTCTTAATAATGGCTCTGTCTTTTGAACTAAGTTCAGACAATACAAAAGTGTGCAATATAGACAGCTGTTCTCTGTACATAGTTGCTTTCTTCATTTTTTACTTTAGTTTACGTAAAAATGACAATAAGCCACAAAATCAAGTTCACCAACAGACCAAATATGCACAACTGCTAACAAAAATCAAAGCAAGATTCAATTTTTTGTCTAGAATGTCATGGTTGAGAAAGTCTCCGTGTTATAAATAAACAGAAAAAAAGAAAGAAAGGTTGATGATAATCTTTTAATTGAATCCATGGTAAAAGCTTCAAATTTACTTCATATGCATCCCATCGAGGTCATATAACCCTTTCTATAAGACTAAACTGATAATTATTCTAAAAAGACAGATTTATTAAAGTTACTGTTGCATTGCAATTAGCTGTAATAACTTTGACAGAGTGGATTTTTGATATTTCTAGTATGTTGCAATCACTTCAGTGATCATTCACAAGATTTTTGTAGTCTGAGAAAAATAACAACCAACGGCCAAATAATGCAAGGTATGATAAGAGTAAACATCAGAGACTTTGAAACGTTCCGAAGAGCGTGCTACTGAAAGGATGAAAGAGCACTATAACTGCCAGCTCTAAATAATGAATTCTAAATCCTTTTACTGAAGAAGCAAATTTATAAGGCATGATATAATCATTTTAACAAACGAAAACAAGGATTTTAGGAACGAGTACTGAAAACAAGGCAACAGATGTTACATGGTTTTTATATATCCAAAGTCAGGAATGGGTCACCTACCATTAAATTTGAAGCGTTTATCCGAAATTTTAAGACGCCTGTCAGTCTACTACAAGATGCTAGTTTCAGTCTTCAATACTTTATCCCAGTTTTGACTCACAGTAAGGCCTGTACTGCGTAATCTTGGATTTTATCCACGCTATAAAATCGGTGTTGTCTTCTTCACTCGATCACAGATGAATGACTCAAACATGATCAAATGCTCGCTTCTGGGCAGGAAATTTGCGTGCTCAAGTTTCAAGTGACTTGTCAACATCATGCACGCATGCATGGTTCCCAGAGATATAGTTACGACTTTATTTTTAATTAGGATACGACAGTCTGCTACTTGCTTATCTTTTCCTAAGCATCTTAACCACTTGAAAATGTCCTGAAAACTGCATTAGTGGCATACAGACGACGCAACGAATTTTGCCAGCTACATCATTTAACTAAGTTATATGTAACGCAATTTAGAGACAATAGCGCGCGTGTTTATGTCCTGTAGTAACATATTTTATCCCATCTCGTGACATTTGTTCATTACATGGAATAAACATCAACAGCTTGATTGATGCTCTTACAAAATGTGAAAGAAAAATAGTTACTGCTGACAGATTGGACGCCCAAGGCGTAGATACTTAGCGAACGAGTTCCGTTTCACGCGAATCACGCGAACTCCGCTCTCGGGCTTCAATAAAACATTGTTATCAGGAGTAAAGTGGGATCTGCTAAATGCCTTTATTAGGCAAATGGTTATGACGATAACGTGAAATGAAAAGCCTTCTTTTAGATAATAAATATCACAAACAGGCCCACAATCACTAGATTATTAACTCGATCGGGTCACTTACCTATTCAATTTCCGTGTAATTTACTGTAAAAATGAAAGAAGTTATCCTTAAAACTACGGCCAAGTTGGAGTTTTGTAGAAGGGAGCACATTTCAGCACTTTAGCCGTGAATCTAAGGACGAAATCCTTTAATATGAATACATTTTACCATGAAAGCTATTGAGGATTACTCTAGCATAAAGCCTTTTGTTTTTTCGATAGTTCTCGATCAGCAATTACGTTTTTTTTTTCTTTTGAATGAACGTGCCAAAGCACCAACGAAATGAACTTAATCCCCTTGGATTGAAAGCTATTGACAATACCAACGATGAATACACAAATGATATGAGCCGGCCAGCTTAAAAAATGGGGTACAAATGCAAGCAAGCAAGGAAAAAAATCTAAAGTTGATGGCTGTAACTGTTACATAAGAACTAATTTCACAATTTTGGTACAAATTTAAGTGATGTGGACTTTTTTAGTGCTCTTCCATTGTTGTTAAATCAAAATTGTCAACGTAATTCATTTACTTTTGCCATTATTTTAACAGTCTATTCACAACAGAACACGGCCTCATGCAGAGATGAAAATTATCCTGCAAATGCCTTATGTTTAAACTAATCCGTAGGAGTCTAAAACAAGAAATCTTTGTGGAGACTTCACTGTCGGCCAACAGCCGCGTGAAGTGTAAAATCATATGAAGAGCTCTTTATTCACACCATAAACAATAACAAAACGTCTTTTATCGTTGAACAATAGCAATGAACAAGGGCAAGCATTACTATACCCTTTTGACGCAATGTGTACAACATCGACTGTTAACTTCCCGCAAAATTCGATGTAAACTGAAGTTGTCGACGATCTCTGCAAGGCGAACGTGAAACGTACAGATCAGCTGTTTAGATATCAAGTTATTAAAGAAGCCGATATTGTTAAAAGCGGTCATTTATGAATGGCGCAATGCAAACAGTTTACTTGTTCAGTTACATTGCATCCGAAAGGAAATAGCCCTTCCGCTTATCGACACTTCCTACCCGTTGTAAATTACCTTTGTCTGACCACAGCTCCCGCCTGGCTCGCCAGAATACTGATCCGTCATCTGTATCACAAACTCACAGGTTGCCCTAGTTATGCATGTAAAGGCGCACAGTGCAGCTCTGCTTTGTATAACAAAAGATTGATGGAATATATTTTCTTCGTTATTCAATTAAGAAAAGCACCATAAAGAACTCATTATCGCTGCTCCGCTATAAATGATTAGTCGAAAGCTAAAGCTAAGAGCTCTCGTCACAGACTGACAACGTCTTCTATTTCAGGATGTCTTACCTCCGTTCAAATGTCTTACTATTTTTTTAATGTCTAAGTACCTCTTTGTGAAGGAACAATCTTTTAACTAAGTTTTAATTTGTTTGCCATGGAAGAATTAAAACTCCATGTTCTATTAACATAACTAAGCAGTGATCATAATACTTAGCAACGACGGCCTCCATTCATCAGCGAAGAACTTTCCCAAGAGCTCAAATGTAAACACCAAATAAATTTTTTCAGTGAGTCAAAGTTCAGTAATCATAGGCTTACCTTGATCACGTTCCACTGTGGCCAGGTGGTCTCAATCTTTGTTTTTCGCCCTAAAACTGAGCTAAGCTGTTTGCAAATCCTTTCGAGAGACATTTGCGTGCCATGGGTGACTTTTTAATTCAACATGGCTGACCCCGATTTTGCTAATCAATCCTGCTTGAGATGCGTGAAATGAAATGACCCGTGGATGAGTTTGATTGACATGTTTACGCTGAGTATCCCGAAATAAAAATGCGTGACAAATATACTTGCGTGATAATATTTCCCTGTGGTACGCAGTTCTTATCTGTACCAATGACACAGTTTTAACACTTCATCGCAGCAAAACATTTTGACCCTCCCTGAAGAATTGTATAAAGGCTTGAAAGCAGAACTTTCTGCTTGTAAGTGGTTCAAGGTCAAGTGTTTATTTCACTTGACCGTGAAGTCCTGGGAAGACGAACGGAGTCCGTCCTCTGGTTAAATCCGCCAAAAGTGTTGAGCCTAAAGCCCGGCTAAAGCCTTAAAGGTCTTAAAGTAAGAACATACTACTCCAAGAGCACCTGACCCCTTTATTCTGGATACAATAACCAATAAGCTATTCTGTTTCCGTACATTTTTACTGGGCCTGCGTAGCCGGCGGGATTTTTATTGCACGGGGTACTTTCTTGGCGGCGGAGCTGAGAGCACTCCCCCGCTAATCCCGCTGGCCACACAGGCTGGTATATTTTTGAACTGAAAATACTGTAGAGCAGAAGTAACACGTAGCAAAACCGCAGCCGGATGTGTTAAGAGCGGCATTCTTTTTTAAAATTTCTAAACAAACCACACACTTTCCACGGTCCATTGGTGCGTAAAGCATCCACGACACATCACGTCTACCATCGATCCGTTTTCTGACTCAAAATATGGGCTAGATTTATAAAGAGCTACTGACCGCACACAGAACAACAACTATATTGTCATATCCTACAATCTTGAACAAAATAGATGAGAAAGTTGTACCCCCGCTACTCCCCAAAATCGAGGATGTGAAAATGGCGCGTTTTGGCTTTTGCGCGGCTTCATCATGGGTCCTTGATTTGGGGGGCATGGGGGTTTGCTGTTCCATTTTATTCTGTCCAAGATTATAGGTTGGACAGGTTGTATCAAGTTACAAGGCCGAGGTTTGCAAACGAAAGCGTGTGGACCGCACGTGCTAATCAGGAAGACGCCTTGCAGCAACCGGAAGAGGTCGTGTTCTATTTATATGACAACAGATCCAGGTGATTGACCACATCATTCAGGATCAAATATTGGTAATAATACATGTACAGTCAACTGTATCTGACGGACTCCTTCTTTAAAAGGACATAAAACGAACACTCACAGTTGGTCCCTGCAGTCCTACAGACTCCTTTGACTCTCTCTGAAGGCGGACACTTCTCTGGGAAGGAGAGAGCGTTATAGTAGCTAGCATTTTGAGTCTGTGGACAAAATCCTTTGGTGAGAACATTCAAATGAAACCTCCTGACTTCAGCACTACATTTCATATAAATTATATTCCAATTATATATTATATTCTAACTTTGGAGTCAACCCAGGCACTAAGTAACGATCTTGACTAAAACACGACACCACACGGGTACATAAGGTAAGATAGGAATACAGTCAACTCCCTCTAAGATGGACACCTTTGGGACCGGCAGTAAGTGTCCGTCTTAGAGAGATGTCCGTCTTATAGAGAGTCAAATAAAGGAAGTAAAGAAAGGCGGGGACCAACTCTAGGTGTCCGTTTTAGGGAGGCGTCCTTCTTACAGAGGTGTCCGTTAAGAGAGAGTCGACTGTACATGCGAGTAACATACGGGTGACTAAGGTACACGTGAACACATGATTTATCATTTGTGAGGCAAACAAAGAGGACTAACAACCTCCCCTTGCCGTGGATAACATCCCCGCACGATTACATGCCGATCAAATGTTCGTTATTATTGCCTTATCATATTTACCACTCTCCGTCACGTTTTTAACTCACCTTCGTTCAACAGGACCGAGTCCTGACCAACACTCAGTATCAATAAAAAAAACTGAGTAGTCCCTGTCGTCAGCATTTTATACTGATCTGACTTTGTGGACGCAAAAAGAACCATAAGGAACGAAACAATCAAGGCTATTGACCATAGCAGCCCTTAACTTAAAGCCAAGCTCTGCCATCTCCGTCTTACCACGACAATGTGGTATAAGTGTTTCCAATCTAAATTCAAAAACACCTGACTCAAATCACTTTTGGGTTGCAGCCTACCTTTGCTCTCAAGACACTTTAAAGAGGCTATTGTCACTCTATGCTGGATAGCATTTAGGGACGACACGAAAAGCTACCCAGTACAGCATGAACAGTGACGACAAAGGGCGGCACAAGTTGTTCACACGCATCGAACATCGTGCCGGCGTGGTTGGCCGAGAGGGCTTGGTGAACTCAATTCCAGTCCTCATTCCTGAACATTTACTTCCGTCTCAGTCGGTTCCAGTCCTCGCTCCGACTTATTTACTTCCGTGACGGCCCGAATAGGTGTCCACACTTCACCAAAGTGTGGTACAAGACCTCTACGATATGTGACGCCCCACTTTCGAGATCAGCGCCGCGCAGCTTCGCTCCGTCACAGATATGGCGCCGCCCAAACCGTTCTTATGTGTGAAGAGAAACCCCATCCGGTATGATTTTCGCGGCAGCGCCAAAGTTATCCGGTATGGTATGATCATAGCCTAAGATGAAACATTAAATTTTGCAATGCTGATCGTACTACGTAAAAATCGACTCCGCCTAAGTTGTTGCGACATGTCAAAAAAAAATCTCCTCAACACCTCGCTTTCCCGTTAAATATAATTTAATTTAAAAATTTGATAATAAAAGAAATATTCAAAGCAAATTAGCCGACTTATCAATCAATATCTCAACCAAACAATTAACGTTCATAAACTACTCTCACATTTCTCCTTTAGCTCAATATCAAACTGTCCTCGTATCTATCTTAATCCGCAGTAAAAAAATTTTGTTCTCCTCATTGATTTAGGCGCTAAACTGAAGTAATCGTGGCAGTTCGACGAGACATATGGCGTGTACATTTGTATAACAGTTTGAAGATCAATTCATTCACTACTAGCGCTCTTCAACAAAAATGGTCTCTTGGGGATAAAGTCCAACAGTCTGTAGCGATTGTGTTGCATCCAACGCCGTAAGCTGAAAAAAATTAAAACGAAATGTAATTATTTTTGCGATAACGAAAGACGAGTCATAAGCAAATCCAAAATTCTGCACTCAAGAAATTATAAGGGGAATGGGTACAAGCTTTCGGGGCAACGAATTCTGGGATCGTGTGGGTGGACAAGCCTTACGACTGGCTAATAGTTGCCTTGAAAACCATCGACCAATCATAACAAGCGCTTGTCCACCCGAACGATCCCAAAAAGCACTGCGCCCAAAGCTTGTACCCATTCTCCCTCGAGGTGGGGAATTTTGCTTTCCAGCTGAGGTACCACGCACCACGCAACCAAGCCTCTGCCGTACAAAAATACAGACGATCAAGGTGTTCACACCACGCCAGACCAATTTTCGACCATACCAGCAAAAAGTTTAATCTCGTTTTTGGCCTTTAAATTTTTATACGGCTGGGCGTCTAAATTTTTATACGCTTAGTGTGGCTCCGTGTAAACTCAACATCCAAAAACACGAAGTTTGAACCAGTCGAAAATTCGTCTGTGTTCCGTGTGAACACAGCCTCAGTCATGCGCGTTTTCAAGGTATTTTTCGTTGACGGTCAAATGCCAAAAAATATTTTGAAATCTTGTATTTAACTAGATATATCTGACTGATAGTACACAATCAACGTTCGTTTATTGCTCCTGTCTTTCTTAGGTAGTCGAACTGTACTTTCCTTTTAACCTTTTTTTGATTGTTTTGTTTGTGTTGTAATTTAGTTATTATTAATAAAATATAAAAAAATTTAAAAAAAGGTATTTTCCGTTGGTAATAAAGGTTCGAGTACAATGGTTTACAACAGTGCAGCAAAAGAAGCAATAATCAGGCTTCTAGATACTGTGGCAAAAAGTCTCTAAGTCATACTTACGTCTCTCCGAGGGAAATTCGTAACCACTTTATATTCACTGTCTAAGAATCCTCGCGTCTGAACAAATGTTAAAACAACCTGCGAGAAAAGAAAGTGTATGTCAGCCTTAAAATGCAGTGCAATGTGGTTCTAAGATTTTCTGTGGATAAATTCACAGCAATACTTTCTTCTGGAGAAGTTTCATTATTTATTTCAGCCGTACAAGGCAGTTATTAGATGAGATCGTGAGATGTACTTGTCTTAACTGTACTGTGTAAATGTTGCTCAGTTGGCTTCCTAGGCAGTGAAAACAAATCTCACCTGAAGTGGGTTACTAGCAAGGAATCTTCTTGTTACGGTTTTTCCGTCGGGAAGTCGAAACCGAAGATTGGAAACTGGATCGGTACATTCGGACCCGGGCTCTGCAGGAAGGTGATCCATAAGGGATAATCGTTGTGCCTGCAAACAAACAAACAAATAAATAAGTATATGAGCAACCTTCAAAGTCACCATATTCTCCAATACTGAATCTGATTCTAAATCAGATGCAGTGAGCTTACCTCTTTAAGCTGGGCTTCATGTAAAGCTTGTTCTTCGTGTAGTTTCTTTGAGAGCAGTTCTTCTTTTTCTTGTCTTTTTTTCTCCTCTTCCTGTGCAATAAATAAAGTTTTGAACCATTTAATCCCCAATGTCCACATACAAATTCTCAATACTGATCTTCATAAATGTCCTTGAAAAACTAGTTGAGAGAATTTGTTAGACAAAGCATTTTTACTTAGGTGATCATTTTATTAATTCTTATCACCTGCTCACTTGATTACGTATTGATATTGTTAGAAGAAAATTGATGCTGATCACTCTTGAGGTTTTGAAGGGTGAGATAAAGGAACGCTGCGCAACACCTGACATGGGAAAACTGCTCAAAATCAAAATATTTGCGGCCTACTAAGTGTATGAACTATGTAAATCTGCATTCGTGAATGTTATGTGTTACCATTTTACGTAGAGGTTCTGAGCAGCCTCTTTACATTGGTTGTCTTTTTATTATTGATAGGAAATTGTCAGAACAAAGTTGAAACCTAACCTTGGCCCTGTCTTGGCGGAGCGAGGCCTGGTATGCCTCATCTTGTTCTCTCTTCACCATTTCTCTAGCCTCTCTTTCTTCCTGTAAAAACAACAGGTGATCGTTAGTCTCTTGCTGAAAGTTTTACAATGCGGTTATTATTTAAAATATAGTCGAACCTCAATGTACGACTACCTCCCATAAGCGACAACCGATCCAAAACACCACAATCACTACAGTTGGATCACCAAAGTTCGACCCTACTCTTCGTACAATTTTATTTCCTGTTCACTTGTTATGTTCCCAATAACCATCCTTGTGCGGCTGAATCTAGGGAAGAAAACTGACAGAAAAATGTATCCCTGCGCGACAATGTAATTTCCAGACTGTTCAATGATTCTTGCAAGGCAGGTAGAGACCTAATGCTCAGTTTTTAGAAGCAAGTTTAGCGCCTGTTTACCTCTTCTCTAATTTCGATGTCCATGGCTTGTTGAAATGTCTCATGCGCGCTCATGAGACCCGTCATGAGCTCATCAAGAGTAACTGAGCCTGGTACACAATAGAAAAGGTAACATGGGGTTACACGATACAACCTCAAAACCTCAGCTCTCAAAACTGAATCTACAACCAACATAGCTGTTCAAAAACGGGGAAACACTTGTATTAAGCGCAATTTTGAGGAAGTATTGTATTCTACAACATGGAATTACCGAGGTCAAAGCGAGGACTGTTTTACGCCATCAATTTAAAGGGAAATTATGCCATTCGTACGGTCTCATTCGAGTGACGTGAAATTGTTTGTAGAGCAAAGAAAGCGACTTGGACCATAGTTAGTATTTTATTAGCCCGGGTTGCTCGAAGCATGGTTAGTGCTAACCAGCGTTAAATACCATGGAAACCTATACATTTTGATACCTCTTAACCAACGGTTAGCGCTAACCAGGTTTCAGAAAGACTGCGAGAACGAAATTTCCTCAATACTAAGTAGTGCGCGCGCGTGAACCAGTCTCATTTTGGCTGTTGTCACTATAATACAAGTTTCAGCGCAAATATCGTAGTGTCGGGGACAAGTTATCAGTTGTTAGAGGTTTTAACATTTTGCGATCGGGATAAAAATAACAGCGCTAACGTTTCTGGTGAAAAATAGTAAAATAGAACTTTACTCTCTAGGTGATTTCAAAGAGCTCTTATACTCTGAGTAAGGACTGGTGCGACTGGGGATCGAACCCTTGAACACCATGTCACAAGACCGATACTCTCCGGTCAAGCTAACCCTGCGGTGGTTAAAAAAGACTGTACTTAAATTTCCATGAGAAATAATATGTCCTTGTAAACATTTCTTACCTTGAAGGACTGAACATATTTCCATGGCCGATCTATTCCTCATACCAACTATTAAAAGCGGAAACTGCTCGGCCACAAACCCCCGCACAGTACTCGCTGCTACACTGCCAAAGTGTTGCGTAACCATGTCTAGGAACCTGGAGCAGAACGAAACAATAGGAAAGGGTGAATGGATAAGGGAAATGTGAAGGCTTCATAATTAAAAAAAAACACGGTTATATGGATGACAAAGTCTGATTTCCATATGATCTGGGACAAGATCGTCGCCCGGTCTGCGTTACGACACAGACATCTGCTTGGCGCCTTGTTCGCACTAAAATCGAGTCAAACAAACAAGGCATGTTTGCGATCACTGAAATAAATGGGAACATTTGTCTGTAGGGTCTAGGATGTTCTGAAAACGTCTGACGTCGACAGCTTCCGATTACGTCGCAGAACGCTGCAGGTTTTTACAGGTAAGTCATGTAGACACCAAGCTTTAATGCGAGGAAAATAGAGATCAATGTCGATGGAACAGTTATTCTATTATATTCATTTAGAGTGACTGGCGGCACACGGGACCAAGATGAAGAAAAGTTTTAGCTGTAGTGAATGGTTGTCCGAGGGATGAAGATGGAGCTGTCTTTCCAGCTCGGGATCTCCCGCAAAACGGGAATGAAACAGTTTATACACACACCTTGCTCTGTTAGAGTTGTGAGTCATGTCCCACGCCCACACGACAAAGTTACCGCTGATGTAGTTTACTATCGTTTCCGAACAAATCAGTTGACTACAAAAAGAAAATAAAAATATAAAATACTTTAAAAAGGGAAGGCATGCAGGCTGCACAGTTTTAAATGAAAACTAATAAGAGCGTCCAGTCAGAACTTAAGCTCCGTATTGATCAGCAGTTTCTTGCGGTGCATTTTTAATGGCGAATCCAGGAATTTCTGGTGCGGGGAGTGGGGTGGGGGAAAAGAAGAGGGGACACTGGCTATTGAAAATGTTTCACAGTTACCCGTTCCTATCCTAACTTTCCTACATCCCATTTCTAGAGAGCGAAGGAAAGGGAGAACAAGTATCTAATGGGAACAGACTGAAGGGGGGGGATGGATGGAGGAGAGGAAGAGGGGGGCACTGGCTATTGAAACTGTTTTATAGTTGCCCGTTCCTACCCTAACTTTCCTACATCCCATTTCTAGAGAGCGAAGGAAAGGGAGAACAAGTATTAAATGGGAACAGACTGAAGGGGGTGGGGGAGGGGATGGAGGAGAGGAAGAGGGGACACTGGCTATTGAAAATGTTTCACAGTTACCCGTTCCTATCCTAACTTTCCTACATCCCATTTCTAGAGAGCGAAGGAAAGGGAGAACAAGTATCTAATGGGAACAGACTGAAAAGGAAGTTTTCGGCTTTATATAGAAGGCAGGGACAATGGCACAAAACAGATCATTGCTTCACGCGGCACCATCATCAACGCGGTTGCTGAAAGAGTCCTAAAAAATTAACTACACAACGTCATTTGATACTTACCTACAAAATACATTTGTTAAGATGCTACCATCATGGTGAAGGTATATGAGCAAAGGTCTTCTCTAAGATTCATAACAAAGCAATTTTATTAGTAAAGCTGTACTATCACATGTAGATATCAAATGCAAAGAATAACACCAGGGGTCGCGTGCATAAAACCTGCCTGTGTCTGGTGTTAAAATAAAGAGTTTTTTTGCTGTATCACGACCCTGGTAGATGAGCGCGCACGTGTGAATCAGCGTCATTTTGGCGGGAAAACGTGATAGCTGTCATCATTCTACTACGAGTTCTAGCAAGAATGTCGTACTGTTAGAACTTTTATCATTTTGTCATCGGGAGAGGGCTTACCACATTCGATAAAAATGACAATGCTAAGTTTTCTGGCGAAAAAAAGTACAAAGACGCTTTCCGGGGCTTCTACTTTTTGAGAATATTTTAAGTTCGATAATTACATTGTATCATCATCGTCGACGTCCATGTCCTCCAATATAAAGGTCTCTTATGTTCTACACACTCATCATCTCCAAATTCAATCACGCAAAACTACATTGTAAACAGGTGACTACTAACCATTGAGAATCCTCTTGACTGTTTTATTGTTATTTACCTCTTTAGCTGAAGCTCCTCCTGCCTCCTTGATGGCTTCAGTAAGTGGACCCATGTAAAAATACGGGTGTGTTTCACCATATCTGATAATCAATCAGAATAAATGTGCATGTGAGTTGCCAGCTGCTCACGGTGTGCTGGCATTTTAAAAAAAGCTCTAGAGTCTAGAGTCAGGGTTAAAATTCTAGACCTTGTTTTAAAGAAGCTGAAAATTCAAGATCCAGCGAGCAAGATCTTCGATTTTCAAGATTTTCATATAAACTCACTGCTGTCATTCACGAAGGTAACAGGTACCTTTGAGTCAAGCTTCATAAAAAATCAAAAATATATATACACGGTATAAATTATTGTGTTTTTCCATTCTACATAAAAATTTGGGAATATTCGGGTGCAATCTAAAAGGTCCAAACGTCTGAAAGCTTACTTTTTAAGAGCAAGATGATTTATTTACAACTGTACGACTTACCTTTCTTCAAACTGAGTAGTAAACTTGACTAATGCTTCTGCAGTATCTGTACAATTATCTTCCACTTTAAAGAGAAGATACAATCTACAGTTAGAATGGCAACATAGAGTGTACAGTGTACATTCACAACACAGAGCCATCAAATGAGACAACTATAATGTTCCCTGTTACCGTCAACTCTCTCCAAGATGGATCCTTTTTGAACTGGTGTCCATCTTAGAGACATGTCTTTCTTATACAAATTTACAAAGTCTCATGACTGGAGCAAAGTTGACAGTGATCCTTAGGTGTCCATTTTAGGGAGGTGTCCCTATTATAGGGGTGTCCAAAAGGAGAGAGGTGACCGTACAAACATGACACACAGACATCCAAAGAAACAATATCATGAGCCAGTTGTATGACAAAAAATACTTTCTACCAACCCAAATTTCACATTACATTGTGCTGTGCAGTCATTTCTCTTTTAACAGACACCTCTGAAAGAAAGCCACCTCCCTAAAATGAACACCTAGATTTGTTCCCTGCCTTTCTTTACTCCTTTCTTGTAACTCTACATGTACACAAGATGAGTTATCTCTCTTAGATGGCACTGAGGGTTGGTTCCAGTGGTGTTCATCTATCCATGTAAGTTACATGTATGTGTACTTACACAACCATAGTGATCAGCAGCATTATGGAGAATAATTACAAGAGCTAGCCCTCCTCGGCCATTTACTGTAAAAACACAGCTTCATTTTCGTAGCATCAATTGCACAACTCTTTCTAAGATGGACACCTTTGGGACCAGTGCTACGTGCCTGCCTTAGAGGGATGTTCATCTTATAGAGAGTCAACTAACAGGAGTAACAAAAGGCAGGTACAATCCCTGGGTGTCCGTTTTAGGAACGTGGCTGTCTTTTAGAGGTGTCTGCTAAGAGAGAATTGACTGTCCCTTAGACTTAACTTATCATTAGCTTGCCGTCTACCTACACATATTGCTTATTTGTCTTCTTGCGGCTGGAACATCGCAAAACATTTCTTCATCATCCATGTGAAAAGAGGGATCTTCATTGTCGCTACTATCATCATTTGTATCCATGTCTACATCTGCATGTCTTGTTTTTGAGGTAGTCTAAAGTTAAGATGTAGAAAATGAAATTACATTAATATGAATTGTCACAGTGGCTTATTTTAGGGAAATCACACAAAATACTGCCATGCAGTAGATTAGCAATACATTCAGGAGAAAATATATTGTAATTCTCGATAATCTTGGTTGCCTGTTCTTCAAGAAGAATTTAAGGTCATTCTCCTGAATTGGATTGCACAGGTTCTCTACTGCACATAATATTGCAACACTAGTTATGCAGTCTAACGTGTACCTTTTTACATTCCTGTGATGTATCTTCACCACTTCTTTTCATTGTTAAACTGTGGACTGGAAAAGACAGTTTTGCATCGGCAAGGGACATCTGAAAAGGATACATTGTACAAATCATAACTTGCGAAACAAATGTACTGGATCAATAATAATTATAATATTTTTGTACCAGTTTAAAAATAATTGTGCCAGTACAAAGACAATTTGTACCATGAGTAAAATTGAACTACAACAGCTACAACCAAAAAACTTACATAGTACTGTACGCATAGCCACTGGCTAGTACCACAAAAGACGTTTTTTCTGTTCACTGATGTATTTGGTCACTTACAGCTGTAGTTGGCTCATAATACTGATTTCATTATTGGCCCTAGTATTAAATAAAGGGTAGCTAAGCCAAAGTGTTGCCTTACATCATCCGTGACGTGATCAGGCCAGCCTGTCCAGCACTGATATCTACAAGGAACACCAGATAAGGACAGAATGTCTGCCTTCACCTACAATAAAACGTTGACTTTATGTTAGGCAATAGAAATATGAAGATTTATGGGGTGTTGCAGAAACTGTTGCTGATTCCAATCCAACCAGGAATCAGGTAGACAAAGAACCACTACGTGTATATGTGGATATACTACCTCTAAATTTGATCATTTTTACTATTAAATCATCATAAGTCAGTAGCCATTTACATGGACAGTCAACTCTTGATAACTTCAAGGGAAATCAAAAACAGTTTGAGTTATCATGAGTTTGAAGCAAATAACCAGAAGTAAAGAAAAGGGGTGGGGGGTGGGGGGGAGAATGGAAGTATCGTGTACACTTCACTTCATGGGCAGCAAGAGATATACTGATATTTTGAAAAAGAAATAATTTGAGCAACAAAGCCTTTGTTGATCAGTACAGCGCTAAACATTGTATTTGAATTGGACAGACAAAAGGTAAAAAATCTTAAAGAGAAAGAAAACATGATTGTTTTGAGAGAAATTCAAGGTTCTGGACTGCAATTCACTTCACCTGTTCCAGGCGTTTTCTGCTCACATCTCTTTGCAACGTCCCCAGGAACACAAGGCCTGGAATGGGCTACAATTCACAGCATTTTTTTCAAATTTTCATGTGCTTAAAACATGGTTTGAGTTATTGAGGATAAAATTGTATAGAAATAGTCTTAACCCTTTAAGCCCCAGTATCCACATACAAATTCTCCAAACTGATCTCCATACATCTACTTTAAGAATTAGTTGAGAGAATTTGATAAAAGATCATGGAATTTTCTCTTAGGTGATCATTTTATTAATTCTCATAACTTTATCTCTTGACTGTGTATGGATATTGTTAGGAGAAAATTGATGTTGAACACTATTGGGACTTAAAGGGTTAAGGGAAACAAAAATTACGTTGAGCTAGCAGGAGGTTCAAGTTACTGAGGGCAAAATTACAGTAAATGAAAGAAGGAAATCCAAGGGAAATCGATTTTGGTTCAAGTTAGTGCGAGGTTCGAGTTAGTGAGGGTTTGAGTCATTGGGAGTTGACTGTACATGTAAATTCATTGATCAGCTGGTTGCGAGCACATCAACGAAAAGAAGTTGATGTCCTACCTCTCCTATTGTTTTAGTTAGTGCATAGGGAAGATTGTACTTTCTGCTGCCAACTTGAATATATAACATGATCTTTTCTAGAGAATTGCTACTTTTTGCAGATGAGCTGAAAAGACAAAAAAATAATATCAGTTGTTTTCATGTTATGGCAAATGAATATTTAAAACATTTTTTATTTGATTTTTGGTGTTTATACTGGTACATGTGCATACCTTGTTTCACCATTCATGGTTTCTCTTACTGAGCAAGGCTGGCTATCCTTGGGCGTCTCTGTAACCTTGCGACTAGTTAAGACCAAGGCTGTTTCCTCTCTTAAGTTTAAAGACCTCAGTACACTCTGCCAAGGAAAAATTACACTATTATGTGTATGTGAGTGTGTGTTCTGCCCACAGGCAGGCCCTTCATTATTACTTGTAGTTCCTAATCTAAGGCGTGCCTCTTGACTGCTATGTAAGGGTCACAATCCTTCACTCTCCCCAGCATTCCCCGACAAAGTCTTTTAGGTGGCCTCTTTTTCATCTATTATTCTCCCCTCAATAATTAACCCTTTATGCCCCAGTATCTACATACAAATTCTCCAAACTGATCTCTATACATTTCCTTAAAGAATTAGTTAAGAGAATTTGTTAAAAGATCAAGGTATTTTTACTTAGGTGATCATTTTATTAATTCTCATAACTTATCTGTTGACAATGTATGGATATTGATAGGAGAAAATTGATCTTGGTCACTATTGGGACTAAAAGGGTTAATGGGACAAGATCACCATGCTGTTTGCTATAACCAAGCCAGATTCTCTGTTTCTGTTGATAACAGACACTATTATATGTATACCAATAATACAACATAGATAAAGCTTTTCAATATTCATGCTCATAGTTTAATAATGTTAATGTGAAGGTCTCTCATGTTCCTGAGAAACCTGCCAGTTTACAGAAATTGAAAATCATCTTACATCATCACTTAGCTGTAAATTGCTTGCCCATCCCAGAAGGCTTTGCTGGTCCACTGGTATCCCGAGTTGCATCTCCAGCATTCTTTTGATTGTTCCTGAATATTCACGACAAAAAAATACTCTGATAATTAATTTTAACCTTGACAACAAGAAAAAAACCTTCCAGTACAGTGTGTTTCTGACTTTGCTAAAACTCAGACAAGGATGAAAAACCTTAGGTCCCTTCTCACAGCACTTTCACTTATCTTGTTCTTGTGGGGGGGGGGCTGTAAAAGAACCGAACCCACTGTTCCGCTAGTGTGGCCAACCTTTCCTGTGCTGGATGGGTTATCTTTAAGGAGAGAACTTAATGTGATCTTAATAAGGATAACATCATGATCCTCCTTCAGGTGTAGTAATGGCTATCTGTAAACTGCAGAGATTCCAACCCCATGTGATTGAAAATAGGGAGTAATTATTAGCGCCGAAGGCGTGAGCTTTTAGGGGGGTCCGGGGGCATGCCCCCCCTGGGAAATTTTGCAAATTTAGGTTCACTCAAGTGCCATTTCCTGAATTTTGACATCATTCCGGCCTGAGTTATAACATACCATAATGCTCTTCGCGAAGAAAGTAAGTATAATATGAGTGTTTCACGTTGACAGATCGCCAAAAATTCTAAAGATTAGCAATTTTTCCCTAGTTTTCAGAATTTTATAATAAATCGGGAGAGCAGGAGGCAAGACATCAAATCGGGAGGGTTGGAATCTCTGAAACAGTGTATGTAACTATGTGTATATGATATTAATTATTCTGATACCAATTATTAGGTTGGGTGGGGGGCCAGGGGGAGTCTGCTGTCATAATAAATTACCTATTGTTTCACTGTCTTCCAACACAATAGGAATTGTCTGATCCCTCCACTCAACTAAAAATTTTACTCTTCTTAAGGGCTGCTGCACAGGGATTGATCTTCCGACGACTTCACCAACAGAAACTGAGGGCTGATCTGAAGCGGGATAATGTTCTTCCATGGCTGGAGCCTCAGGCATGCTAAACACAGATACAATATACAGAAAAGTGAGTTTGAAAAAATGCTGAAATCATGTTGTTACTAAACACACAAATAATCATGTTCGACAGAGGAGAAAGCATCCTGATGTTGGCTTTCCCGTGGCTTTTATAGGCATAAGACATCATGACATTTTTGAGACTGCAATCTGGAAATTTTCTTGAATTGTGTTTCCAAACAAAATTCTGCATTTAGCCAATCTCTATTAATAGAAGTTATGGCAGTGCATAATTAACTAAAAAGATATACCATGGATGAAATAGGTTTAGAGTTCTAGGCAAATGGCTTATCCCATGCATAATACTGATTGTTCTTTGATATTCTGTGACAGTTGATAATTGTCTGTTTAAGCTCTAAACTTTGTGTCGTGTGCGTTATTTATTATAAGCTTAAATTATGATTAAAAGCCTTGATACCGTCACGATAGTACAATTAGTTAGAATTGTACCATGCACTTAAACTGCATTTCTTTTTAAATTTGAAGTTATTATGGCTTTAAAATACTAATCAGCTTTAGATCAAGAGAGAAGACAAAAATGTAAGTTTGAAACGTGAAGATAACGTCATAGTTCATAACATTTCTGCTTGATACACAAAAATTGAGAAAATAATTATTCATTTGTTTCTCTCTCTCAGTGCTGTATTGAAACTTTTACCGTAAGGGAGAATCCGTCTGGTCTGCAAGGACTGAATTCACACAAGCCTGGGAAAGGAAATTTTAAGACAGTGGAAATATCAATCAAAGTGAACTGTATGTAGATAAACAAGCTGAGAAGGGAGAAAGCACTTCCTACCATTAAATCCCAGTTATGATGATCCAGGAGTGTTATACATTCATCTAGGTTCTCGATCCCCGTTATACTCTGAATAAGAATTAATAGAAGAACTGTTTTGCAAAGGAAAAGGCAAAGAATACACGAAAATCGTAGATTTACCTGAAAGTTTGCGAGCACCATCTCCCGGTCTCCGTCCCCCGCCATCTTGGATTTTTTAATAACAAACCTTGCGCACGCGTTAATAAATGCGTGCATCAGAATGAGAAAGCGGAAGTGACGACATAGTTTTAGGCCAGGAAGTCAGCATTAACGAAACAACAGTGGTGGTTCACAGCAGTATCAGTTCAGGGGTTCAATAAAGAGGATGTATTCTTGAGGGTAGGTCTAACCAGTAACACATAAGCTCTCTTCTTGACTTGTGTAATAAAGATTGAAAATCCTGCGCAGCGTAGTTACTTAATGTTAATTTGAAAATTGTAAAAGCGACGCTGTTACTTTAAGAGTCTTCACCGACGTTTCGGCAATGCTGCCTTCTTCAGGGTACAAGACTAAATACTTGGGTATTCTCCTGAGGCACTAAAGAATCTTGCGGGGATTTCATAGGAATGTACTGAGTACAGTATGATCATCTACCTTGTTACTTTAGTAATGTTATTATTTATATAAATAATAATAAAAGAGGGTCGGCTTCAATATGGACCTTTATGGAACACCTGAGGTGACACGGGGGTAGTTGTAGAGTAGGTACCATTCACGACCACTAATTGGGTGCTTTTCTGAAGAAAACCAGCGATCTAAGCTTGCGTCCTTCCATTAATACCGTACCAAGCTATCTTAAGCAGTAATTTAGTAGGAAAACCATTTTCGCAATTTGCACAATAGAAGGTCAGCGCCAGGGGAAATTTGAATTTTGAGAACCTTAGAAATGCTTGCGCAATTCGTTTACACTCTGGCAGAATGTTTATATAACAGAAGCCTTCAGCAGTGTGCTCATTTTTTTTTTTTTTTTTATGACGCCGCGTTGCTCATATCATCGTGTGCCCTGATTCAGCGTCCTTTGAAGCCCAATTTCTTGGCATGAAACCCATTCTCTTCTGCACAGAGGCTTCCGCTAGGTATTCCAATAAAAAATAGCAATAATTAAAAATAGTGTTCTTTCCCTTTCCTCAGCCTTCCCAGGACACAAAGAGTCCTCTGCATAGGAGACTGAGGATATAGCGAAAGCTCCTCTCAAATCCCACCAGACCCTCCTAACTTATACTGAAACGGACGGTCCTCAATAGCCAAAAAGCGAGGTCTTTGCAAGGTTCACATGCATTAGTGCTGCACTGGCAAAGTGGCGTATATCCCCAGACACCCGCTCGTTGATCGGTCTTGCCAAAACACAAGGAAGAAATTATAGATCAGTGAGATGGAGGATTATGGAATAGAGTAAAAGGCGTGATCAGAAGTGGGCGCATTAAGCTACAAGAGGAAAAAGTAAGGCAGCCGAGGTACGTTCAGCTCGCTTATTTTATTGCTAATCTCCACCCTTTTGAGCGCCGATTGTTGTTTTGTGCAGTAGAAACCTCACCACTGTTTGATAGGTCAGGTTCCGTCCCGAGAATTTGGACTACACTGGAAATGGTCACGCACACAAAACAGCAAACAAACAAGAATATAACAATTTGATTGGTTTATCGAAAAGACAAAAAACCCGCGCAGCTTTTGTTTGCTTCAGCTAACACTCAGCGTGCATTCAGAGCCAAGGGATCGAGATCGCTGAAAAATAACTTTTTTTATTTCTTAGGGTAAAAAAAGAGCTAAGCTCCCAATTGAAGGATTGAACCATAGTTTTTTCCCCCGGGGGGGGGGGGGGGTACTGCCATATATGGGCTATATGGGTATGTGCCGCTGTGAAGGGTATGGTTTTCAAGTAGTTTACTCTAGGATAGGGTATATAAATCAGAGCGTTTGGGTCTAGAATAGGGTATCATTTTTCACGAAACTGATCAGTTGGTTGAAGATTTTATCTAGACTGGGGAAACAGCTACTCTAGGATAGGGGGATCTGGGGAGTTTACTCTAGTATAGGGTAGCAAAATTCAGCTGAACTAGCTCTGGTATAGGTCAAGGGTTCCACGGTCCCAGCGGCACATCCCCACCCAGAAATTCCTAAAGTGCCCCCCCCCCGGGAGTATTTTAGCTTAGGCTTTTCCTTTGCGGTAAAAAGCAGGAATATTTTATCTTTTTTAACAACTGGTTTCGAATTGGTTGATAAAAGAATAACGGAACACTTACAGGAAATACTTTTCAAGGTCAGACGATAATATGCTCTTTGGCTTTCTCGGAAAGTTGGCTAGTTAAGCTTGGAGAGCTGTCATGCTGCAATGTTTCATCTTTTATTTCTCGACGTGACGGCGTCCACTTCCTTGGATTCTTTAATTAATGTGGCAAAAGTTCTTAAAATACCAAACGAAGTCGATAATAGGCGAACTAATTCAAACCGGGACCTTTTCAGTCGATCTTTACTGACCTACGTTCTCTCTGATTAATAGTTAATCTAAAGACTTTACTTGCAGACCCCGGTCCCGTAACTGGGAAACAAGCCATGTTATCGCCTAGTAACTAATTTATAAGTGAACGTAATCAGACATACTTGTGCTATAAGCTTTAATAAATGTAAGAAAAAACCCGTTTGAGTGAAAATTAGTGAAGTGCGATTACGTAGACAAAGCTCATTCAAGCTTGATGTTTGTTAGTCGGTTACATAACAAAAGGTTATACTAAAATCTCGTTTTTCAAGCATATAAGCAATTTCAATGGATAAAATCATTGAAAAGTACTGATAAAGAAACTTGGAGGTTTAATGCTCAGAGTTGTTTTACCCGGCACACCTCGCCAAAAATTTGGTTCTGTCCAAATATTTCGTAATGAGGCGCCTCATGTTATAAAGTACAATAAGATTTATTTCTATTCTGCTGCTTGTTGATCACTCGGGAGCATGACCCTTTGGTGAGAAAAAAATTCTTAACTGTTTTTCCTGCCTAAAGAACGTTAAAAAAAGTTGATGACATTTAAAGCCTATTTTCAGAATATTTTCAGAGTCATATTCCTCAATGCTTTAAATGATAGATGTAGCTTACAAGGTTCTACTATCTCACCCAGAGATCCCACAAAGTCGTATACAGTGGTAACCACCGGAATCACCGGAATCGGAACTTGAATCGTTCATACCATTTCTTCGATTGATCTTTATCCAGATGCATTTCAGTCAGCGCTTTTATTGTTTCGTTTTCTGTTCGGTTCACATCCATACCTTGTTGAGCGGACATTTGTTGTATCAACGTCTGGCTTTCTTTCTCATCCTTTACTTTGGACAAGATTTCAGCTTGTCGTTTGGCTTCTTCATAGTAGTTTATGCGTTGTTGCCAACCAGGATTGACACTTCGTTTTTCGGACTCGATAAGTAGATCAATGTACTCGACTTCAGTAAGTGGGTTGGTTTTGAGAGCAATTTCATCTAGGCGACGAACACTCTGTTGAGCTTGTCTGATCATGTTGAGAACCTGCTTGTGTACTTTCTGGAGATCCAGGTCCAACACAGTTATCATTTGTTTAGCAGTGGCCTTTTCTTTCATTGCTTTGTGGTACTTCTTCTTAAGAGATTCTAATGTTCTTGTTTCTTCGATCAATTTATGCTTGATTAGATAGGGAAGATTCTTATGCTCTGACCAAATGCAGCCACGTGGACAGATCCTACAATAACCATCCTCGTTCATGGCCCAACATTTGAATTTCGCTCCATCACGACGTCTACAGTTTTTATGGCAAGTGATATGGCAGGGTAGACATGTGGTAGTTTTTTGTCCTGTCCCTTCAAGATCTATATAAGTCGGTTTTGTGACTTGAACTTTATACTCGAAATTTTTGTTTGCTTCAATGTCTTTTTCATGTTTTTGCAGCACAAGTTCTTCCTGTCGCATCTCTTCAATTTTGTCTAGTCCCAGTTTAATCTGTTCATTCAGACCTTCCAGTGACATGTGAAGCTGCTCTCGTTCCTCTAATACCTCTTTAGTAAGACGAAGACTGACACTTTCTGTTTTGGGAAATTCCACAAAGAATCTTTTGAAGGAACTGAAACCCATCTTCCAGAACATCTCGTCAAAATTCATTTCGACTTCTGGAGTTTCGGAACTGTGTTCGGCGAAGAGAGCTGAATTGTTGAACTTAAAGTATTTGTCACTCTGACTTGGTATTTTGGCTTTCTTTATCGCTTCCAAAACAGGAGGTCTTTGACCGTCTGCGAAAGTGAGCATCATGAAAATGTTTTGGGAGACATCTTTCCCAAACACAGAGAGGATTGCATCGAATATGTACTCCTGCGTTTTAGTGAGGCGTGCTTGTGAAGCCTGAGTAACGAACCCAATGCCATCAAGATGGTCGATCCCTTGTGGCGGAAGAATAGAAAAGAACTCCTTTATTTGTTCAGTTATTTCCCTGTCTCTCTTTATCCCCTCAGTAGCGCCAAAACCAGGAGTGTCGATTATAGTGAATGTATAGTCAATAAGTGAACCTTTCATAGGATGAAAAGTGTACGCGGTTATATCGGTCGTCTGGCTGTCAGCTTGTGATTTTTTGTCGTCTTCTGTTATGATCTTAAATCGAAAATCATCTTTCCATTCCACGCCCAAGATATAGTTCACCATCCCATTTATTAGGGTCGACTTGCCGGCTCCTGTAGCTCCCACTACCAGAAAGACCCTTTCGTTTTGTCCGTGGCCGTTTCGACAAGGTCTTCCAATGCTTTTCCTTGCTATCATACTGTTTTCGAGTTTCATTTCCTCCCTCATGTTAAGCCTGTAAATTGCCGGAGATCCGTCTTCAAGCTCGTCTGCTAAGGCCAGCATGTGTTCAGCAAGATGAGATTTTACGAAAGAAGCCCCCGCCGCACCACTTGTACTCGACATGGCTGCTAAAGAGCTTCGCAAAGCTTGTGCTTTGTTTTTCTCCCTGTAAGAAGATATGACAGAGGTTATTGGTACATAACTCTCTTCTCATTCACTATCCACTTTATTTAAGACAAAAAAGACAACACATTTCCACCGCTTTAAACTCTGAATTCGTTAAACACAACAAAGGGTAAAAGGATAAATAGGATGTCTTCTCAAAATTGGAGTAGAAAACGCAAGCCAAGCCAAGTGCAAATATTGTCATTCTTTTTTCGCGGCTCAGGTAAATCCAAAATAACCACTGAATCGAACGCTAGGCCACTTTTGAGGGAACATCTCGAAAAAATAATTAGAAATGCTCGCTTACCTTTGCTTTTTACTCTTGGTTGCTACTTAAGATGATAACTGTTACGTACGATCGAGGCAGGCAGAAAGGTAGACAATTTTACCCTCTAGAGATTTCGCATTTGATTGTGGCTCGGAAACTCAAATATTCTAATTGCATGACTAGTCAACCAACTAGTCATGTTAAATCAGCCAATGATTTCGATTTAGTAAAGACAGTTGCCCTGGTAACGTTTCCTTATTATTTTAGAATTTCCGAGAAAATGAAGATTCAAATCACGTTTTTATCACGAGGTTTTGTCTAGACAATGTTTCTTCGATTAGTTAGACTAATGCATTTTGCTTGTCCCGAAGACGTCCAGACTACACTTAAGATCAATAAAGATGGACTCACATAATGCATTTTTTGTTTCTTTTAATTACTGAACATCGTACGAAAGACAAAAACCATTTTTTGCAGCACCCCCATACCCGCACGTTTTGCAGGGGGTTTATCCCACTTCCCATGAGCCTCTGCGGCAAACCAGTTCGAGCGGAGCCGTACGCCACGAATTAAAAGGTAAGAAATTGTTTCCACGTTTTAAGGTCATTTCAACCTTCTGCAAACTTGCCGTAATGGTTTTATTGTTATATTTTTATTGCATTAACTTTATTTGTGTTAACATCCTGATCTATGAAGAATGAATCTTCCTGCAACATCATGACATTCAACTTTTTTGGAACGTCAACTCCGTAAAATATCAAATCGGTTGACACACCAAATCCGGTTGCCGTAATAACAGAAAGGATCATGAGCTAAGCAGAAATGAACTGCGTGATCGTTTCGTGTAGGATCTGAAAGGGTATTCTCGGGATCAGGGATTTGACTCGAAATACTATGCGGGATTCAGGAAAAAGCAAAATATCTTGATGGAATACAATATTTGTCCGCTACTCGGGAAGAGGGATTCGCCAAATCGTGGCACAGGATGCGGTATTCGGGACAGAGATGACAGAAGTTCGGAATGCGGGATCCTAGTGAAAAAACTGGAAGCGGGAATGCCCGGGATCAGGAGCCTCCTTCAAACCCTGTTCGCAATATCCAACGACCGTAGGTTGATGTGTTTATAAGCAGTAATACAGGCAGGAATGACTGAGGAATGAAGTCGATCGTAACCACTAAACGTATGTCGGCTGATTGTGTTAAGAAATAGATTTATAGCTAAACAAAAAAAAATGATAATCAGTAATAGCAAAGTAACGAGGTTAAAACTTGATGTTACGCACAAAACGACATGGCAAACCGCTAAATTCACTTACTTCTATGTAGTATAGGGTTGATCACATTTTACTTTGATCGCCCACAGGTTATGGACCCAGACGAAGTACTCAGCTCAACGTCTGGAAAAGCAAATTTTTATCGTATTGCACGACTTTTGATAAGTGGAGGTACCAGCCTTCTGAGGGAGATATTTGACGCTCGTTGTCCACCGAGCCAACTTGCCAAAATATTGAGTGCTCCTGCAACAAAGCGACTTCTGAAAGGAGCAAGATTGACTAAGCCACAGTGGGACTATCTTTACCCCTCCCCAGGAGTGTATGGGAAATCGACAGATTTTGATGTCACGCTGCTTACTAGATTACTGAGAACAATATGCAGCATTCCTCCTCCTTCAGCGGGATGGGACACGCCACCGTCAAACACAGACCACAAGTTAGCAGCGGATTTAGTGAGAATAAGGCTTTTACGAAATTCGGTTTATGGACATGTAAGCCAGATGATGGAGATTGCAGACGAAGAGTTTCCACGTCTTTGGCAAGAGATTAGTAAAGTTCTCTTTAGAATTGCGGGACACTTTGGCCATGAAAAGCAACAGGAGTGGCAAAAGGCCATCGATAAGTTTTTAAAAGATCCCCTTACAGAAAAAGATGATATAAATGTTGATGAATTGAAGAGATGGTATGAAAATGACATAGAGGTGAAGAAGGCCCTAGGAGAGCTTAAGGTTGCAACTCAAGAAGGAATGGCTCATTTGGAAACGGCATTAGGACGCAAAGTGGAAACAACAGAACTCAAATTATGCGAACATTTTCAGACAGTTGTGGAAACGGTGCAAGAAGACATCAAAGATCAGTTGCGGAAAATGCAGCAGGCAATAGTCAGCTCTAACTCAACAGCTACCGATGGTGAGTGTTGGTAATGTTAAAAAATTTTCCACGGCAGAGAGTCAATCAATCAGTTTCCCAGCCAAACTCTGCTGATTAGTTGATATACAAAATGTTTTAATTGAATGGTAAGCTTATGCACAAGCTAAGTTTAAACGAAACGGGTCTCCATTATATTTCAAGAGTTTAGAGTTGAGAAAACAAAGATTGGTTAAATAATAGTTACCTGTTGACTGTCTCGTTCGTATTAGTACATAAGGCCTGCAGAGAGTCTCTTCACCCTTCTCTTTTAGCTGTTGCCGCACCACAACTCTGCAAGGTTGTCATACCTCCTCATTTCTTTCCCCGAATGTGCGTCTTTTATTTGCTGATGTTTTGGGGGCTGAAGATCATCTTTAGCCAAACAAATGCGCTCTGGCTCTTCAATTCTAGTTTTGACGTTGCTACTAAGTCGTTCCTCCTCTCAGACTGTCTCAAACAATTGACCGAACTCATCTAACTCCTCAACATCTTGTCCATCCAAACTAACGCTGCCTGTAAGGTGGAAGGTCAGGATTAGTATCACCACCCGCAGGGAATTTCTTCAGATTTTAGAAACTGATTTTTCTTGGTAACTTATATTGCATCAAATCGCTGTCCGTTCACATAATATGGCTTCAAGATAAGACAAAAGGAAGATAGGCGAGGCGTGATAAGTCATAAAAGAAATAAGACAAGGAGCTTTTTTGCACATTTGTCTAACAAAACATACAAAAGTAGATTGAGTGATTGCTTATATCATAGGTTACAAATTTTGTATGAAATGAGTACGGGACTTTCACTTCCACTTCCCCTGAGTAGTATACAATCTAAACTACTAGTATTTCTAGTATATATCTTAACTGTTAGATACTGATTATTTAGCGAACACTGTTTTGCTTTTCAAACCCAGGACAGCAATTGCTAATAATTTCTTTTTATACTAAGGATTTAAAGGAGCTGTGTCACGAAATTGAGCCAAATTAGGAAATTACAAAATGCCCGTTAAATTAAGAGAAACATAAAACTAACCGCTTAAAACTTTAAAGGAAGGTTAAAATAACATAACCGAAACAACAGATGCCACGGATGGGCAAAACTGAATTAGATTGAGATTAGGGTTTTTGAAAACTGTTCAGCCTAACAGTTTTTCAAAGTTGATCCCTGCTGCTTGCAACTTCAATAATAATGCTCAGGAGACACATTTGTTTGTCTCGGATCTCTGATTTTGCCATTTACATGTAATTTCTTTGCTTACTTTAAGTTCCGTAGCGATTGAGGGCGAGCAATTGGCAAAATTAAACAAAATGAACTGGACTGCCGTGACACAGCCCCTATAAATCCTCTTGATTGCTAATATTAATATACATTCTGTTTTTTTTTACAAGCCACGACGACTTCCACGACCAAATGCAAAGACGATAGCACTAAAAATGGAGGGCAGGAGGATCAGCACTGTTTCCCGAATGCAAACAAGACTCCGCCAGCCGGGCATGGTTTTGATAGTTATAATAGAGAAAACCTACCAGCGCAAGACCAAGGCTCAGAAGACGTTTCAAAAGATGAGGAACTAGAGATTATTAAAGATGCAGAGGATGGACCTCCTTATATCCGTAAACTTCAAGTAAAAGAAGAACTGTCATTGTCAAAATCAATGCTCTCCAGAAAATCTATTGGTGAAATAAGACAGTCTCCAGAAAAGGTGTTACTGATGATCGGTGCGACTGGGGCTGGGAAAAGCACTCTGATCAATGCCATGGCCAACTACCTTAAGGGCGTCAAATGGGACGATGACTTCCGTTTCAAGCTAATAACAGACGATGAACCAACGAGTTACCTCACTGCTTACACATTTTACCCGGCTATTGATGAGTCCCCAATTCCTTACACGTTCACAGTAATTGACTCTCCTGGGTTTGGTGGAGCAGACGGATTAAGAAGAGACAAAGAGATCACTGAGCAAATAAAGAAGTTCTTTACTATCCCTCTACCAGAAGGAATCGACCATCTCGATGGAATTGGCTTTGTCATTGATGCTTCACAAGCACGCCTTACTCCAACGCAGAAGTACATATTCGATTCAATCCTGTCAATATTTGGCCGTGATGTTTCTCGAAATATCTTCACGATGATTACCTTTGCAGATAGTCAAACTCCTGCTGTTTTAGACGTCATCAAGGAGTCCGAAATTCCAAGCCAGAATGAAAAAATTTTTAAGTTCAACAACTCTGCTCTTTTTGCGTCGAACGTTGCTCAAGAAGAAATAATCTATGATAAAAAGTTCTGGGAAAGGAATACGAGTTCCCTCGACAAATTCTTCTTGGAATTCCCTAAATCTGAATGTGTCAGCCTTCATCTCACTAAGAAAGTACTGAAGGAACGAGAACAACTGTACGTTTCACTTGAAAGTCTTAAAGACCAAATCAAATTGGGACTGGACAAAATGGAAGAGATGAGACAGGAGGAACTTGTTTTGCAAAAACACGAGCTAGAAATTGAAGCAAACAAGGAATTCACTTTTAAAGTCACTATTACTAAACCAGTTCATGTCAGCCTAGAAGGGAGAGGACAACACACCACCACATGCATTAAATGCCAGAGCACTTGTCATAAGAATTGTAAAATTGCTGATGAAAGGAAAAAGTTTAACTGCAGTGCCATGGGAGAGGAAGGCAAATGCAGAATTTGCCCTCTTAGTTGCATTTGGTCTGACCACAAGAACGTTCCTTACTTGATCAAAAATGAAGTGTTTACTGAGCAAAGAACATTGGAATGCCTTAAAATGAAGTATCTCAAAGCGGTTGACGAAAAGGCAATAGCAAAACAGATGATGAAGTCGTTGGCGGAATCTCTAGAAAATGTACATGTAGTAGTTCTCAACAAAATAAGACAAGCTCAGAAAAGTGTTCGTCGTTTGAATGAAATCGCCCTTAAGCCAAAACCACTCACTGAAGCAGAGTACATTGACCTACTTATTGAATCCGAAAAAAGAGCTGCCAGTCCTGGGTGGGCCCAACGTGTCAAATACTACGAAGTGGCAAAACGTCATGCTCAGCTTCTCTCCAAAGCAAAGGATGAAGATGAAAGCGAGAAACTAGTTCGAAGGCTCTCCCGGCAAGTTTCAGACATCAGCGAGGAGGCAAGGAAAACACTGGAAAACTTGTCCATTGATGATGGCGATTCTGACCCTTGGTTCTCAAGATTCAAGTTTTAGTGACATTAATGCAAACGACCAAACCCAGTTCAAAGGTGTTACATTACAATTAGGCAAAATGTCCCGTCGAACCTCTCTATTACGTAATGGGCAGCCCCCAGGGAAGGTTCAAAGTTCTTTTTATAATTTCCACCTACGAACAATTTTAACTCCAGGATTCCCGACTTATCTAGGAAGGCCGAAGGGCCTCTGCTCGCAGGGTACTAGTACCTAGACGCTAGCTAAAGAAGGGGTTTGTGTGTGTGTGTATGTATTTATAAGGAAGGGGGCGGTTAATACACTGTAACCCCTTAATGAAGTTACTAGAAGAATAAAATGGTCACGTGACCTAATTTTAAAAATTGCTGTTTAACGGTAAATGCTAGTCATCCATTATGGACAGATTCTTAAGTGGAAAAACTAGGCGATTACGTTGGTGTTTTAAAGGGACAGGTTCACGGTTCAGCGCATGCTCATATATTAAATTTCGTTTTTCAAAGTTATTATTAATTTTATCGGTTAATAATCCGACTCACATGTATCTCAGCAAAGTAGAAGTGTATTTCAGAGTAACCTGAAGTAGGATGGAGGAGCACTAAAATCGCAGAAAAATTAGTGGATTATGCCAACACTACCAACGTTGAATTTATTGTTGACCCGAAGGTTTTATTCCATGGTTGATTAATTTACAGCCATTTGCACCTAAGTTGATCAAGTGACTGACGGGGAAGTGTGCAGATTGGTTCTTTGACAAAATTATGACCTGATGATATTGCTTTCATAGACGATATATCATGTCTCGGCAGAAAAATAGCATTTTGATTAACGAGCATGTGCTGAACCGTGAACCGTGAACCTGTCCCTTGAACAAAAACCCATTGCATGTCACCTCGGCGGCCCATTTTCACTTTTCTCTTCGCGTAAGAAAACTACTATAACAGCTCACGAGACGCAAAAATTCCCCTTTTAAACAGAACACCAACTTAAGGATGTCAAATAGACCCTAACCTTGTGGAATCTGTGAGTCGTTTAGTTTTCTTAGTTTCACGGATCTCTCCGCCACCGGAACTGACGCCTCTACAGTAGCCCTATACCAAGCCTTCTGGTATTTACTGAGTTACAGGTGTTGATCTCACCCGGTCCGATCCAGGTTTTGTTAAAGTCTGAGGAGACTGCCCAACTGAATCTAAACTTTCAAAAGGTTAATACTCATCAAATTTTCTATAATTTGTCTGACAACATTTAAGTCAGACAAATCTTAGAGTAACCATTTAACATTTTTTTTCATGTAACATGAAGCTTTTTTGGCAATCATTATTTGACTGTTTTTTTACCCGACATTGAGCTTTTTTTAAGCGTTACAATAATTAAGGTTGAACGGAAAAATTATCTTGTAGCGTATCACCCAAATATTTCCTGTCGATTTTGATTAATCTCTCCCCAGGTTTTTTGAAATCACGATATAGTTTGTACAGCAAAGACATGTTTAGAATTATTAAAAGCCCTGTAAGTTACATTATATCCCAAATTTGAAATTATAATCCCGTTCAGAAAGTCCCAGCAGTTCCGAAGGGGAGACTCCTATATAGAATTGACGGAGGTGATCTTCGTCTCTCTTAGGGATAGAAGTTTCAGATTTTGGTCTCCTTTAGGGTGTTAAGGACGGAAAAACAAAATTTTGCCAGTAAACGTATCCCTAAGGGTTGTGTAAAGAAATATCTATAAAAAAGGCAAATGCCGTCATACCGTGTTGGGGTATGCTCTCCATTAGGGGTCAAACAAAGCCTGTGCCAAACCACAGTACCCTATTTTTTCGTGAAATCGTCGAGATATAGCGCGTCTTTCATGCAAGATGGCAGCCCGTAACGCAAAGCGCTCGATCTCGACGATCTTACGGAAAAATAGAGAACTGTGAACAGTCTACACCTAGAACGGTCTCCTTTAGACTTTTAATTCTTCGTTTTCATCCCCGTCTCTTTTGCGGGGAAGTCACCCCCCGCCCTCGAGCAAGAAGTAAACTGAGTCGAAACGTCGCGATCAAAAACAGACTATCGCTAGATGAACGATAAACAAAGCCTATCATTAAAAAATTAGTAGCTGACCCGTGACAGACATCATCTTGCAAAAATTTAAGTCACCCCAGCCTTGTTCTTCTGTTTCCAAGAATTCTCCTTTTGCGGCTACGGTAGTGATATTTCCGACATTGACGTGTATTGCACGTGATAATGAGAACAATAGTTCATTCAGTAAAAAAAAAAGCCAAGCTTTATGGTAACACCCTTCTGGATTTCTCCATCAAAGTTTTGATATACCCACACTGAAGACGGAGCTTTCTGTATGGAAAAGACTTTTTATCCGGTAAGTATTTAGGAAATTTACGTAAGTGAACTTCTTGTTTGACCTGATTTGGCACAAACTGTGGGAATTTTTGCTAATCCTTCGCATCGCACTTTTGCTTACTAGGGAGACAATGAAGTGCGCAAGACTCGATAGACATTATCTTTCTCTCCACTTGCACAGTCTTCATCCATTCTTCATTTCATGCTCGTTGTGACGATTCAATTCTGCATTGGCATCAAGGTAGTCTTAGAAGGTCCCTCAGTCCAGAACTTAGCAAGCAAACGCTTCGAATACAGAACAGGATAGATTCACTGCTTTAAAGGTAAACGTTTCTTCAATTATCAGTTTCAATAATTATTAAATAATACCTCCCTGAGCTTTGCAAACAGGAAGAGATAATCGATAACAGCTAAAACAAAACCACCGAAAAAAGTCTGACTACTGATAGAAATTAGGTCTAACCGAAATGGTGACTTAATCCCCCCTAATGACTTTTCCAGGAAGCGGATTTGTTCCTGTGTCAGTGGAAACGTCTAAGGCGTCTCGCTATAAATACGTGTTTACGAGAATTGGTTTATTTTTTACTCAGAACGAGTTGGCTTTGTTTAAAATTCCCGTCTTCAAAACATTTGCCCTTCCTCGGCAGTTTCAGGACATGAAGGGGTGTTTTTCTAGCGCTGGTTTTTTTTCGGTTGTTTAATATTTCTTTCAGGTGGTAGTTCGACTGACATATGTAGCTATATGTACACACTTTATTTCAACGCGAATTATTGGAGCATCAGTCTAGCGACCTTGCATCTTCGATAAAAAAAAGTTAAACAAAATATTAAAGAATAATAAATAAACAAAATTCTTAAATTTAATGAATTATTTACATGTAGGTGGGGAACCCCAGGTAGGTGAGGTAACCACCTCGGGTCGGGTAAAAATGAAACCCGCGTTTACATGATATCTTACAACCCCGTAGCCTACGTAGCTACGTAGTTGGTGGGATTCTTGATCGTGGAGCACTTTCTTGGTGGTGGAGCCGCCACGCCAAGCGAGTGGCGAAGCCAGGAGGGATTTTCGAGAGGGGAAAATCCCGCCCGCCACATTTCTTATGAGTTTTGAATGTCGCCCACTTTTGTCGACTTGGTTGGAACTATTTGATTACCCAATCAGGAGTGCGGTGTAATACGAACCTGCAGTTATTCCAAACTGAAGAAACTAAAACCTCTATTAAGGGGCCGACCATTTTAACTCTTGAGGGGGGGGGGGGGGGGGGGGGGGTGGGTGATTTCTGGTCATCAAGAATTTTTTTTCTAGCAATCTGGTGGACAGGATATTTTTTTCCCTTCTAAATGCTCTGCGGGATATTTTTTTCCCTCCTCATTTCTCTGCAGGATTTTTTTCCCCTCAAAAAAGGGTAACGTGTTTACATATACAAAATGTATTTACATTTACATTGTGGTCATTGCAGTAATAGTTCTAATATGGAGCTGCAAAGCCTTAAAATGTTGCAAGCTATACAAAATCATTATTGTATAGCTATGTTTTCAGAAAGTCATTCTTTACACTCATTTTATATTACATCAAAATAAAGTGATGCACCACAGGCAGATGTGAAAATGTTTAGTTCTTAATTAAAAAAATAGCCAAAAATAGCAAAAACCAGTTCAGAAAAGCTCATAGCATGGTAATTGCTGCTAGAATCATTAGTTGCAATTTAAAAGTGGACTGAAATACGCAAAACAATTGAAATTAGTTGATCATGGTCTAATTCAAAAATAGCTCTAATAATTTTTGCTCAGCCTTTTTTCAGTCCACTTCTACATTGAGTATCTCAAAGTTGAGCATAAAAGCAATGTGATGGTGTTCCAAGTTATGCTAGTATGTGCTGTACAGACAGGCCACTTCCTGGGCACTGCTTCTCTGTAAGTCCATCATATTGGACCCATTTTCCAAAATGCTTTATCTTGCAAGTGTAATGCTGCCTTTGTCTTACATAAAATGTAAGACCATAAAGAGTGTAACTGCAATAAAGGGAGGGGACAAATGTCAGTACCTTGTAAGCAGCAAAATGAAATACTTGATGATATCATGTAGTAATCGTAAGCAGGAGTTCATCACATTTCAGTCTCACTATTCTCACTATTTTCATATAATTTTGGGATATTCAGTGAACAGATAAATACAGGAAATAAATATGTTGTACCAATACCTTCCCCCAAGAAACTTGATCTGTTGAGGGAAATCACTCTCTGAGGCTAGTGTACCAGAGGCACCAAGAAACTCAACATTAATAATGAGTATCAAAGGAGCCGCACCTGGAAACTGACGATTACTTTGGGTACGCATCCCATCACAGTATGCATGCTGCACCAACCTAAGGGTGAAAAAGAAAAGAAAAGTTTTTTCCTATAGCAATTTTGGTTGCCTGTATTAATTGCATAAAGGGTATTAAAAGATAGCTGCTTACATGTAACCCCCTCTTCCATTAGGCACTCTTGTTGTTCCATAATAAAATGTTGCACCATTGGGAATACAATGGGAAGGGAACCGTCTGCTGCACCTAGTCTGCTTTGCACACATTACCCATGTTTGCAACATAGACTCCAACAATGTAAGTCCTGGAAGACTGTAATTCTGCAAGTTAAAAACAGAGCAGTATAAAAAAATGGCTCAGGACAAGTAATTATATACATTACACATGCATGCTCTTTATTAGTTAGATGATTTAGCATCATGACCGCTCACCTTTTGCCTTTGCTATGCATTGTAGTTTCATCAAGAAATAAATTTGAATAAAAAATGAGTGACTTGATTTCCAGATCCTTTAATAAGGCAAAAACATTAAAAATTGGAGAATGTTTACTTCACTTTCAAACAATTAGGCTTTTTTAGCAACCACTATGTTGCATACTGAACCTTAAATAGGGCCTGGTTTGGGTCATAAATACCTGAGAGCCAAAGTGTTCGCCCACCTTATAGAAACTCCTAGCTGAGGACAGGATGTGGATGAGCAACTTGAAGTAACATTTGATCTCATGAGGGGTATTAGGTACTCTGTGAACTTAGTTTCTTCATTTCCCCAGAAGTCAAGTATACCATTTGCACCAACTTGGATAGGACAGCCCATTTTTATCCCCTCAAGTTTTGTTTCAGCAAATTCTCCTCTTCTGATTAATTCCAATGATCTGCATAGAATCTGGCATATAAGGTCATTGTTATTGTCTAAATATGATCTTATCTTAGCAGACTCAGTGGTCAATGCATGCAAGATCATTAGGCAGTTGTCTATGGGGCATGTGTTAATAAGTTGCAGAGCATTTCCATTAGAAACGGTATGACCTACCCAAGGAATAATCATCAGTCCTGGTAGTGGTGGTGGTGGCAGAAAAACTGTCCTCTGGGATGATGGTGTTGGTGATTGAGTTGTCTTTACAGGATGTGGTAATGAAGGTTGTTGTGTTGCAGTGCCTTGGTTGCTGTAAAAGTGTTTTTTAATCTCATATATCTTTGATGACTTTGTAAACCCTTTTGCATGAAGGGCTTTGTTCGGGAATCCTGCAACTTTCTCCAAGTTAAGATCGAGCTGGCTTACACACATTTTGTCTATTTTTCCTGTCTCTATAGCATCCTTCCAATCTATTTCATCAACAGATTTTGAAAGCTCATCTGCTTTATTGGCAGCACGTGACCCTTTAGAAAAATGTGCCTTTAGTAACAAGGAATACTTCCTTTTAAAATTCAGTTTCCACTGCCCTCCTGAGGTCTTCCCCTGTGTAACGTTCTACTATTTCATCTACATTAGCCATAAGCTTGTTGAGGGTATCATTGTCATCAAACACCGACTTCTTGACACTTCCATCCTCTCCACATACTTCCCTTTCCTTTATTTGAATAGGGCCAACCTTTTTTACAGCCTCTTTTAATTTTGCCCTCGGGCAAAACTCATCAATCTTTCTTTCCTTTTCTGGAGCATCTGAAAACAGATCTGGGTTTGTACAATGAAACCCAGACCTGTCTCCTTTATAACATGGAACAGGTGCAGGCACTCTGTGTACTGGGGGTCCTCTCCAGTTGCATCCAAGGGTCGACTGATGAACATCACACATCTTTTTCCCATCAAAACATCCATTACAGATTCCGTCAATAGCACCATCATGTACAGTATAATGGTCTTTTACAAACTGCAGCTGCTTAAAGTAATAGGTGCTACCTGCACAAGAGCTCTGTTTAGCTTGTGAGGAATCATGTACTTTATTCATATATACATTGTCAAAGAAGAAATTGGCAGACTGAGAATAGCTCGGAGTCCGAGAATGTATAGAGGTTCCCAAGCACCTCTTCCTTCTATACCGCCTTTCTATTTCCTTGGCACACAGCTTGGATATTTCCTCTTGGCGCTTGGATTCCAGGGCATTAAACTCATCTTGAGTAAGTGATAAAACTTCATCTTGATTAAGGCCCCCAAACAGAGGCACTTTTGGGACAGGGATGGAACGGCCATCACCTGTTGCTTCATTCAAGCTTCTCATCACCTGTTCTGCAAAGTGTGACCGTGAGTCATTAGGTGCATAATGAATGCGAGCCTGTAAAGCTAGATTAAAAACTTGGAAATACTCGGCCATCCTAATTTGAACCAACTTCTCATGAGATGACACACCTGGGCCAGCATCACTTGTCTGGATATCTTTGGGTCTAGGATACAGAAAGAAAAGTCTCACCAAGATGAACATACTTAAAAGATTTTGTATGAATGTATCATTTCAATTTTATTATCTTTCAGCTTCTAAAATTGATATGAATAGGCTGTGCTGGATTCACTGATGATGCCTTGAGAGCAATAAAAGGAAAATCAACATTGAACATATCTTTGGGGACATGAAATGCGAAATCATTGTATTCTGTTTTTTACTGACAATGAAGCCTTGGTGCATGCCATTAATAAACAGTCATGCAGGGATAAAGCATTGATGTTTTTTATGAGGAAATTAGTGCTGGTTTGTTTGCAAAACAATATACTTTTTAAGGCCAAACACGTTAAGGGTGTTCATAACACTCTAGCAGATTCTCTGTCTCGATTACAGGTCGAGAATTTCAAGCGATTGGCCCCAGCTCACATGGAACATTGTCCAACAGACATTCCCCTGCATCTGCAGCCACAGAATTGGCACCTATAATAACTACCCTACTACAGTCCAGCCTTCAGCCTTCGTCACTTCCAACTTATCGGCGTGCTTGGAGGCTTTTTTGTCAATTTTTGCATGTCACCCTGCCTGGGAATTCTGCTACTCTTCCCATTTCACCCCCTGTTTTAGCACTATTTATTGCTTACATGTATAACCACAATTATGCTCCTTCCACTGTTAATACATATGTCTCGGCTTTGGGCTATTGCCACAAATTGTCAGGGATTGATGATCGCACTAAGGTCTTTTTTGTCATGCAGATGCTTAGAGGTTATGGAAAGCTTGGTTTTCGTTTGGACAGTCGGTTGCCTATCATATTACCTATCCTACTTAGAATATTGGCATCGGCTGTTCACTTTTGTCATTCGCAATATGATATTGTTCTATTTCAAGCCATGTGCTCACTTGCATTTTTTGGTTGTATGAGGGTTGGCGAAATCACCCCGACCCCTTCCAAAGGTGGAGGGTCTCCTTTTCAAATTTGCCAACTTACACAGTTGGTGGATGAGAATCAGAAGGTGGTGGCACTTAAGTGCACCTTTTTAGACTTCAAACATAACTATAACCAACGCCCCTTTTCTTTAGTGATAGGTCGTCAAAGCCATTTTTGCCCGGTACAAGTTCTCTTAGATTATCTCTCTCGCAGAGGGTACAGCCCCGGGCCTCTTTTTATTTTGGGTGATGGTTCTCCAGTTTCTAGAGCCGCCTTTACAGAAAAGCTTTCCATGGCCATTAAGTATTGTGGTCTTGATCCTTCTCGATATAAGGGTCATAGTTTCCGTATAGGTGCTGCTTCTCATGCTGCGGATGCGGGTATGTCTGCTTTGGGACGATGGAAGTCAAATGCATTCCAAAAATATATTCGAATCCCCTCAATATCATCTTAGTTTAGTTTAATGCTTATTTTTCATGGCAGTTTCTTGCAGGGGAAGTTACTGCTGACATAACTCCGGGTTGATTGGCTGACTTGCAAGGGCAGCAGTTTCATTGGCTCAGAGTTGTTTTGTTTAGTTTCTTATCTAAACTAAATTAATTTTGACATTGGCAATTTGGTTTCTACTCAGTTTTTCTTTTATGGTAAATTTTTTCATTGCAGTTTTTGAAACGGGGAGGTTACCATTGCCATAACTTCAGGTCGATTGACTGACTTGCAAGGGCAGCAGTTATCATTGATTTGGTGTTGTGTTATATGGTTTCTTATATCAAATGGGTTCAACACTATCTTTAATGACAATTTTTTACTGTATTCTATGAAAGGTAAGTCGCAATTGGTATAACTCCAGATCGATAAACTGACATGCAGGGGCTGCAGTTTTTCGGTGTCGTGTAGCGGAAATTAATACATAACCATTATTTTCCTTTTTTCAGATTAATGTGTTATACTAGTCTTGTCTTGTTGATTAACTGTTTTGCAAGGGCAGCAGTTAAAATCAGCTCTTAGTTATTGGATACTGTGGTATAATCGCCCAATCAGGTTGTAAGGGCAGCAGTTTCCTGCTATTTTTTGTAGGCTTGTCTAATTAAGTATCCATGCCGCATTTCCTTTGGGTGGGGCGAGCATCTTCATTTGCAAAACTTTGATGCTTTTGGCGTATTTTTTGGGGCCCTCACCTTTACTGGGCCATGAGAAAGTTATCTGTAGTAAATTTTATTCTTAAATGAAAATTGGGATTTAATTAAAGCGGCTATGGTTCTTTGTTCATAGCCATTTTACTCCAAACTTGTATGTGTTTGGTTTACTGAAATTAGGTCCAGTAAACAAGCTTCAGGCTATGCAGCACTGTTTTTCTACTTATTTGCTGACAGAAAGGGGAAAGCATAAACAACAATGATATCTGTGAACTCTAATTATTAGGAACTTTGTTTTCTAGAATCACTTTTCATAAAGATCATCAACCCAGGAACTTGCTTTGTTTGTTCTACTGTTCTAATGCAAATTTCAACCATTTATACACCTACAACTTGTAAGGATAATAAATATATTCACTCATTTTGAAAAAGGTCTAGATTTAAAAAACGACTTGAATATCAAGATGTTTCTCTGAGTATATCTTCATTGTGTTTTATGATGACAAATATTATAAACAAAATTGCATTTTTCTGGAGACTGCTGCAAGAGAGTTAATACACATACTATATAAACATGTTTTATCTTGAAAATGTCATTCCTGATCCACTAATGCTTATAAACTAATACATTATTTGTCACAAGCAAGTAAACATATTTCATCTATTATTTGCAATACATCAACTTGCTAGTCAAATACATTTTATTCGATACATTAACTTGCTTGCAGCAATGCAGGCTGGTCTGAACAAAATTTATGATCACAAAATTACAATTTCATGATACAGCTTTGAGATCTGATATTTTTAACGAATGGACTTACCCTTCAGTCTATACAAGGACAGAACTACATCATTCAGCTCTGATATCCTGAAAGTCTGGACAGCGCAATCCTGAAGTAATGGCAAAGCTATTTCTATACAATCCAGCAGGACATTAATTCACAGAAACTCCCGTTCATAGTGGTCACCTCCTTCCACACATTGCATGTAGTCATTCTTCAAATTCATCATTTCAAACTGAAACAGGGAGTCCCTGACCACCAGCAAGCTTGTCAGTTGCTCCCTCTTAAATGAAATCTTGTGATGCTCACTGGAGTATTGATGGTCTAGTGTAGTGTCTTTATGGCCTGGCGGTGTTGGTTCTTGATGGTCTGGTGAAGGGTCTTGATTGTCTGGTACAGGGTCAGTATCAAGTTCTAATTCATGTTCCTCAGGAAACAAATAGAGGTCATTGAACCAGTTTGTGGCAGAGCTGGGATAAAATGTCTTTGGTTTACATGTAACAGTTACTGTAACATCCTCCCTCACAAACTTGTCAGTACCATTATAGGGAACCTCCTTCATATGGATCTTGTTTACTGTGGGTAATGTCGACTGAGATATCGGTCGACATAGCGGTTGACAGTCGGTCGATATAGCGGTCGACAGTCGGTCGATAGTCGGTCGACAGTCGGTCGATAGTCGGTTGATAGTCGGTCGATAGTCGGTCAATAGTCGGTCGATAGTCGGTCGATAGTGAGATAGACTATCGGCCGAGTATTGGTCGATATTTCGTCGATGCACCTCGACTTACTATCAGTCATATGTCGGTGATGTATCGGTCAACTGTCGCTGATATACCAGTCAACTGTCGGTGGTATATCGGTGAACTGTCGGTGGTATATCGGTCAACTGTCGTTCGAATATTAGTCGTGTGTTAATTTATCAGGTGAGTCCAATGGCTTTTTTTTAAGCAAAGACGTCATTAATTACTGTTATCATGCGATGAGGAACATGTGGCAGTGCAAGGCGCGATTACGCTATGAAGAGAACCGAAGAGCACTGAGAACTAAGGACATGATAACCTTTTTCTTCCAGTTTATGTCATCACCGATCATCTGAGTTTTAGCTGTTAAACAGAACCTGTCTCAGCCTAAGTTAAATCTGCTGCTCCTGTGGTCCCGCAAAAATGTAGGAAAATGTAGGAAATGCTAAGTGTCGACCGACCATCGACCGAGTGTCGACCAATAACGAGTGTCGGTCAGTAATTATAATTATTACTGACCGACACATCGGTCAAGTATCGACCAACTATCGACCAAGTACTGGCGAAGTGTCGGGGAAGTGTCGGCGAAAAGTCAGCGAGGTGTCGGTGAACGAAAAGCTATATCGGCCGAGACACATCTGGAACGACTATCGGCCGTGTCTCGACTGAGTGTCGACCCACTATCGACCAACTATCGACCGCTATATCGACCGACTGTCGACCGACTATCGACCGAGTGTCGACCGACTATCGACCGACTGTCGACCGAGTATCGACCGACTGTCGACCGACTATCGACTGAGTTTCGACCGCTATATCGACCGATATCTCGGTCGACATTACCCACAGTAAACAAGATCCCTTCATATTATCTCCGAGCAAAATGACTCCTGGAGAAACATATCCAGAGTCTTGTGGGTAATCTGATGAGGGTAATTTAAATTGAAGACTTTCAGATGAAATCCGGAAAGGTGTATGTATTGGCCTACTGAAGCCTTCAGAGGTCCAGCAACGCAAATAGGCTTCGTCATCCATGGCTCTTCTTACAGCAAACTTGCGGTATGGGGAGTCACTCTTGAATATCAGACTAGTATAATTCTTAATGTGAGCCCTGTTATAGTGGATGTTAACATGCCGATCTGACAATTTTTTTTTTCAGACCATCTTGTTTTCCATAAACCTTCACCTCTATGCTGCATTGCTTGTCTTGACCTCTTGTTTCTGGGTTCCAGGGTGTCCAGCGGCACGGTTGCTAAAAAAAATAGGAAAATAGGAAACTCAGGATCGAGAAAATAGGAAAAAATAATTGGAAACTTTATATTAAAAATAGGAGAAAAATAGAAAAATTAATGGTACTTTCGTCAACAAAGATAGCCTCCCTGCACCCCATCAGGGTTATAATAAAGGCTATGAGTCCTCAGATTCTATGTTCGTGGGATTTAGATCAACTTTCGTGGCTAAGATTAGAAGTGAAAATGATCAGTAACTTTTAGTTTATTGGCTCAGTTACGCTGTAATCAGAATGATATGCGTGACTACAGGTCGAGCGTGGTTCTATAATCAAAGGTGAACATATGCAAATTCCCTTCAAATTGGTGGCAAATCTTTGAAAAGCTTTGACGAGTGAAATTTCTAAGGAGAGAAATTTCTTACAATTGCGTTGTCATTGAAGGATATTGAACAAGGACTTAAAGTCTTATGGAAAGGTTTCCTTCCGTTAATCTGCAATCTGGCGGTAGCTGGTTTAGAATATGCTTGTTGGAGTCAGAAGACCACATAATTTTAAGTACGGAACCAGGCTTTCTGCAGTGTACGCAAAATGACACTGATCTATTTGGTACCAGATTGGAAGTGTGTCATGGTTAAGTTCTAGGAAGAACATATACTCTGTCTAGCTATGACTGCAAGACCAGTTTCGCAACCAAAATATTGGATCATTCGTCAGTTGCTTAGGTATAGCTGTTAACAAGGGCTCAACAAGAGAGCTAGTGCTGTAAACTAAACTGTAGTCTGTTCTTTTCATCTAGCATCCAGAATCAGCTAGTGATTGGTTTTTTGAAAAAGAAGCTGAGTGGATGATTTATCTGGCCTGCGTTGTGAGAGGACAACTTGATCCTGTTATCAGTTTCAAAGATGAACATAAATGCGAACAAGACTTCAAAATAAAATATAACAAGTACAGATACTGAAATGCAGTTTCAGTGGGCTCTGCACCATATTACTCAATAGTCATGAGAACTATAACACTACATACAATACATGTAGATTCGCTAAAAATTATACAAAAAGTAACAATATAACAAAAATGTTAACAGAACTCTAGTAGACAATAGAGGTCATGGAAAGAACAAACATAACTAATTTTTACTGATATTAGAATATCAATTTGAAAGTCAACATACTGCTTGTTTTATGATAAATCTCACTCAAAAACACACAACAACTAAAATTCTGTTTCCAATTTCGTTACAAATTTTGGCTTTACCAGCTAAAAAAATAGGAAAAATAGGAGGTTTTAGTTTAAAAATAGGAGGAAATAGGAATAGGGTCAAAAAATAGGAAAAAATAGGAACTGGACACCCTGGGGTTTACCCCAAGATCTTACAGTTTCCCTGTTTCTAATAAGAGGGAGGCCTTTGGCTTGCAGGTAGTTATTTGCTATCTAACGTGGCTCTCTTCCTTGAATTCTTCCTTCTTCCAGGTACCCAGTACCTTCATCTCCCCATCTCCTCTCGTTGGCCTTCAGTTGTTCATACAAAACATTGTACACAGCTTTTTCTGCACCCCTGCCAATCTTTGTAGAACCTTTATTCTTACCAAGTTGCCGTCTCAATCCTGACTTCCATGAATAGAATATTCGCCGTTTGAATCTTTTAGTCTGCCTGCTGGTATTTGATTTCAAATTCTCAAGGCGTACATCTGGGTCACACCTTTTTCTTTTTCGTTCAAGTTTATCTGTATCCTTTTCTATTTCCTTGGAAATCTTAGAGATCAAATCATGAAGGTTCTTCTCTGCTTGCTCAGTAGCTTCCTGGTCTTTCTGCTCTACTTCTTGGGCTAACTTTACCGTTTCGTCATACATGCGACATGCAAAGACCTCATTCACACCCATAAACATCTTAATCGTAGTTTTGGACAACAGCAAACTTAAAATGCAATAAACTATTGAAAAGTCCATCGATGATGAGAGAAGTTTCCTTAGCATTGGGATGAGTGAAGCGAGAAGTAAAAGAGACTGCTTCTTTATACCAGCATCACGAGTTTCAGTGATACTTCTTTTGCTCTCTCTATTAGAAGGACATATGATTCATTCTGTACCGATTTTACTACCACAGGCAGTCCATTCTTTTGAAGGAGAAGATCTCGGATTTGCACTCTAGCACTATGATTTTTATTTGTCTTTTCTAGGAAAGGCATACCCTGTTTCAGCGTGAGCTCATCAAGTAAACACAGAAGGGACGAATAAGAACTCACATTTGATGCCGAAGTTGAACGTGAAATCCTTTCTTGTGGATTTTCCCTTGCTTCTGAAATTGTCTTGTTGCATTCAGAGATACGAGAGCGTGCTAAACCTTTTGAAAGATACGAATTTTCTTGCTTTGTTCTGTTTGCATGAGCGATACACTCCATGTTAAATGAGTGTTTTCGCGCCGAAAAAAACTGAGCCCGCGATTCCTCAAAACTGTTGTCTATTGACGGCCAGCGGGAATCCTAAAAAAAGTCGCCCCAGAACCCAGCGGGTGCGTTGTTGTTGACAAGATGGCGGAGATGGCGGACAGAGAGGACGTTCACTTGGTCGATACAATAAGTGACGAATCCATTCAGCAAGAACACGTGGAACCAGAAACAGAATGCGAAGAAAAACTACAATCTTAGTTGGGAAAGATTGCCCTAGAAAAATCCCATTCAACATAAAGAGAAAAATTCAATTATGGTTCTTTGTGGTTTGGGCTTGCGTAGCTAATTTGTTGAAACAAGTCACTGACTACGGCCAGCGCCAGCGAGAGCTCTTCGTGACCAAAAATATGCCATGTTATGGAAGTTATGCCTAGACGTTTGAAATAAAGAGTACATTATTCTGCGTTATTGTGGTGGCCTTGTCAGGGGCGGCTTTGATACAAAAGTACAGTAAATAATCATCAGCATCATCATCGTAAAACATTCTTAAGTCTAACAAGAACCTATTATTATTGCTATTATTATCATTATTGTTGTTGTTCTTGTCGATGATGATACTTATTAATGGGTCTGCTTGTCCTCCGAACATCCATTTCAAGTTTGTTACAAAGTGCGACAAGTGTTATTACAAAGTGCGACAGCTTATTTTATTACAAAGTGCGATGGTCTTTTATCAGGGGCACCCAACGAGAATATAGTTCAAAACCACTTAAACATAGCATTGTTAAACGTATTTTAGTATTTAAACGGTAGATATAGGCATATTTTTATCCCCTAAAAATTTTTCATCTGTTCGGGTTTCCTAGCTGAAAGTCTCGAAAATTGTAGGTGAGCTTTTCAGGGTAAAAATCCGTTAAAAATGGGCAATTACACCAATTTTTAGTTGTTCGAAAATCCTAGGAGAGGTAGGCAAGCAACAAATTTTACAAAAAATGTACCGAAAATTCTAGATCTCAAATCGTCTTCCGAACAGATATTTTCCGAAAATTGACGTTGGGTGCCCCTGTTTTATTACAAAGTGCGAAAGCTTCTTTATTATAAAGTGCGAAAGAACAAACCTTAAATCTTGGGGTGACGAGGCTGCAGTGGAGCTTGTTTTCTTTTTCAATTTTATTTCATTTCCACGTGACGTGAACGCACT